CAAAAGTACAACTAATCAAAGCTCGATTTTTGAATTCGTATAACTAATTGCAGATAAATATAATCAAATAGAGGATAAACATCTTATTTTAAAATATAAAAAATCTAAAATATAATTAGGATAATTATCGATATCTAACAAAATAATTAATTATTATCTTTTTAAGAAAAATTATATTATTAAACCAAATATAAATTACTTCGTTATTGTATCTAAATTAAATTATAATAAGAAATTGAATTAACAAATTACACAAAAATGAGGAATTTTAAATAGTTAATTTGATACAAATATCGATATATTTTTGGTATGCATAACGTACTATTTATTGATGCATATTACTTAAAATTCAAGATTAGAAGTAATTATGTATAAGTACAACTTATTAAAGCTCGATGTTTGAATTCGTATAAATAACTACGGATAAACATAATCAAATAGATAATGAACATCTCATTTTAAAATATAAAAAATATAAAATATAATTAGAATAACTATCGAGTTTCAACAAAATAAGTAATTATTATTTTTAAAAAAAAAATATATTATTAAACCAAATATAAATTACTTTGTTATTATACATAAATTAAATTATAAAAAAATTACACAAAAAAATGACAAATTTCAAATAGTTAATTTGATACTAATATCGATATATTTTTGTCAAATTTTTATGATATCTTCAAACATATATTTTATTCAAAAATAAAAACATCATCGTTTTCTCAAAATCATATAAAACCATATTATAACATCGAATGAGATAAATAATAAAATAAAATATTAAATCACGATATATCACACTGCATTGCGCGTATATCTTTCTAGTAATTTATAAAGTAGTTAATAAGTGTTCGAGTCGAGAGCACTTTTAAAAATATGAGGAAATTGTGTATGTATAGATAGTAATTATAAAAGCTAATATAACACAATCACAAACCAAGGATAAAACCACTCTTGCTTGTAAGTCAACAAAATATCACGCATATAAAAATATGTAAGTCACAACAACATCAAATCTTTACAAAAGTATTTTAAATACCACATCAAGTCTCGAACTATTTTTAATCGCAGAATTAAATCACATTTGCATACAAAAATGGCACATGAAAGTTCATTTAATTATTGGTGAAGACTACACCATCAAAACCCACTCATCCAAGACCCAACTATTGCTTTTCCAACAAAATATCAAACACCATACCAGATAGTCATGGTATAATATCAAGGTTCATATCAAACAAGGAAAGCTGTTAGCAACAAATCACTAACCTCTTAGATTTGAACAAATATAGAATGATTTGCTTACGTTTAGAAGTCATTTATCAAACACTTACCCAATAAATATTTACCAATAAAATTTAACATTATCATTTACTTACCAACTAAGATTTTAATCCACCAAAACAGAATTGTATGCAACAATTTAACAAGGGAACATAAAAGAAACAAGTGGTTTCATTCATTCAAATTCAATATTCTCTGATGATATAAACTATTCTGCAACTCTTATCTCAAACTACCCAATCAACAAACATGAAGGGTTGTAAGAAGGAGATGCTTAAAATTACAGATACAAAAGGAGAATAGTCTAATCAGATTCATCTAGGCAGTTTTCTTTGGAGATTTAGTGGCTTTGGATGGAGATTTAGGTTCCTTGGTAGCAGTTTTCTTGGGCAATAGAATAGGGTTAATGTTTGGAAGAACACCACCATGTGCAATTGTTACTCCTGCCAACAATTTTCCAAGCTCCTCATCGTTCCTTATGGCTAACAGCACGTGTCTTGGGATGATTCTATTCTTCTTGTTGTCTCTAGCTGCATTTCCAGCTAATTCCAGCACCTGAATACAGATGAACCATCATTAGGATGAATGACTAACCACAAACCCCTAAATCGTAAACCTAAAGCATTTGACAACATGTAAAATGCAAATCGAAGTCCATTACGTTGAAATATCATGAAATTAACTTCAAATGTAACAAAAAGGAAATGAAATCTGAGATATGTTGATGTTAGAAAAAGTTAATTTCCAGATCGACAGACGAAAGTGCCAACAGGATGAGCATGATCTATAAACTATATGTAGATCTGTAAGTTAATAAGATGAAAAGAAGATCCGATACTCAAAATCGAAATGTAAAATGAACTGCAAACACTATGTAAATACGCAAATAGTTATAAACACCGATTGAAAAAAGAAGCTTACTTCTGCGGCAAGGTATTCGAGAACGGCGGCAAGATAAACCGGAGCACCGGTTCCAACTCGCTGAGCATAACGTCCTTTCTTCAGGTAACGGCCAATCCTACCGACGGGGAACTGTAAACCAGCTTTTACTGAACGCGTCACCGACTTCTTCCTCGGACCACCGCCTTTCCTTCCTCCGGCGCCCTTCTTCACTTTTCCGGTTCCCTCCATCTCTCTGAATTTCTCAAAAGCTCTACAGAAATGAGTGATGGATTTGTTTGAGAGTAATGATGGTGAAGAGACCGCTTCGGCGATGTTCTATATAGTGATCAGATAGGGGTTTCGGATCGTCAAATGGGTTAGTATCAGCCGTTGGATTTTGATTAGTAGCGATCCGTGTGAAGCGACATAGACCAATGAGAATGTGGCGTAAATTTTGAATTTTATTTGAAATTCATGGGAAAATTTCGTCGTTCCCGCCTACGGACTCTTTTCCTCCGCTTCTATTTTCCAAATTTTTCCATTACATATATTCCAAATTCCCATTACATAGTTAGTAACATAATGGGTTTTAGGAAACTTATAACTTATTTGGTCATTATATATGACTTTTTGGTTAATTATCTCAATTTATATATATATGTTTTCAGTTACTTAACATATATACAAATAAGTTATATACAAATTTGAATAAATTGAAAATAGGTGTATATGAAGAGCAGACATGATAGTGTAATTGTCTAATGTGCATATTAATAGAAATTCAACAATCACATTAAATCTAAGAAACAAAAGAATACTGGATTCATCGGGTTGGGTTGGGTTCAAATAATAGTAACTCAATACCTACGGTTTGACAATTTTAGAATTCGATTAGACATCGGATTACTTCAGATTGAGTTATTTCATGTTGAATTGAGTCGGGTTGGTCGGGTTTTTGAGCACCCCTTCGTATACAAGTATATTTATCCAACTTTAACTTTAGAATAAAAGTTTTAAAGACAAAAACCAAATTAAAAACCGAAAACCAAGTACTTTGACAAAATAACAACATTGTCAAATAAGAGAATGGTCGGAATGGGGACTGCAATAAACTTGAGATAGGGGTCGGGAAAGGGGAAGTTTTACAAGGATGATGAAAACTCAACTGTCGATGCAATCTCTACAATGATGGTGGTGGGGGTTTTCTTTGCGATGGTTGTGACCTATATGTAAACAAGAGTTTTATAACGGGTTGGATATCCAGGTTAATCAACAACAAAACCAACTTTAAGTATGATGTATTTTTGAGTTTTAGAGGTGAAGACACTCGTAACCAACTTTGTTGATCATCTTTACCACGCTCTTAAGATGGGAAGCATTGAAACTTACAAGGATGACAAGAACCTCGACAAAGGGAGAAAAATCAGTAAGGAGCTCATTCAAGCAATCCAAGAGTCAAGATTCCACGTCATTGTTTTCTCCAAGAACTATGCATCTTCATCGTGGTGTTTGGACGAGCTTGTTAAGATTATGGAGTGCCAAAAGACACAGACTGTGTACCCTGTCTTCTATGATGTGGAACCCACTCAAGTCCGCAAACAAAGTGGATAAATTTGGAGATGCCTTTTCCAAACACGAAAATGATGAGGGTGTTGATAAATGGAGGGAGGCTCTAGTAGAAACAACTTCATTCAGTGTGAGGGACTTAAGCACCACTGCTGATGGGTAATTCGTTCATCGTATCTATGCAATATTTTGTAGTCTTGTTTCATCGTCAAACTTTGAATCGAACTTAAGTATTCTTTTCGATAGAATAAATTGAAATATGATTATATATACGACTCCGTTATAATTATTTCTTGTATGTTTGTAACTTTGTATTTGGTAGATATCGTTTTGATATACAACAAAAAATAAATTATAATATTGACTCCTACATGTAAAGGTTTACCGAGTAAGCTAAAAATTTGGCCCCGCCCCTGTTATTTATATTGGAGTTTGAGAAAGCTAATTGACTCTTCTTTAACATACAGGCACAAAGTTGACTTTATCAAACTAGTTGTTAAGGATATTTCTTTGAAGTTACCTGCCGTCAGTGCCGATGAAAAATTAGCAGGCATGAGGACTCAGATAAATAGCGTGGTTTCATCTTTAAACGCTTTTCCCGATGAGTTTTGCATGCCGGGAATATGGGGGATTGGAGGAAGTGGAAAGACAACTTTGGCTAAAGCTGTTTTTGACCAGATATCCTTTCTTGTCGATTGGAAATACTGAGAAGCTTATTTCAGAAGGTTTATCTTGTGCTTGCACAGACCCGGAGAGTTGTTTATGAAGCATTTGTGGTTCACAACATTAAACAACGTTGGTTGAATTGCTTTGTCGTGTTAAATTATCAAAATTTACTTCATCGGTTACATCACATTTCATTTGTTTTTACAGGATCTTGGACAATGTTGTCGTAACGAGGACTCTCATGTTCTATATGTCAGGATAGATATCTTGTTGGTCCGACTGTTTTGCTGTTTCGTACGTAGCAACTCGAACCGTCAAGACATGTGAACCGGGTTTAGGTGATGTTTGATTAATTGATGCTTCAGGAAATGCACAAAGACTGAAGAATGTAACATTTAGATATAATGGATGTGAATGGAACTTTCAAAACATAAACCAAACGTCAAGTTACAAAACATAAACTTAGCAACAAAGAATGCAGGACTAGAAGAAAGCATCCATGGCCGTTTACCAAACACTTATCCGGGTAAGCGTTTACCAAGTCAAATTACCTCATCGGATGAATATGGCAAGGACCAAGAATGTTATCCGGTAAGAGCGAGACAAGGACCATGAGTGTTACCCGGTAAGTAAGGGCTACGAATTTTACCACGGTAAGCGTTTACCGGGTAAATTGTTGCATACAATGTCGTTTTGGTAGACTAAAATCTTACCCGGTAAGTAAATAACAGTGTTAAGGTTTACCAGTAAGCATTTACCAGGTAAGTGTTTGGTTAATCTCTACAGTTACTGGTAACAAGGAAGTTTTTTGATAAAAATGGCTTATGGTTCCACCTTCATTTTTAGCCAAGATGCCCACACAACACAAGAATATAGAGTGACAAAAGCAGATGAAGCATCAAATACCAAGAATCAAGATGTAAGCGTCAAAAGAGGTTTACAAGACACTTTTCAAGACCTGTTATGTTAGTGTCTAAAAGTTAATAAGACACTTTTGATTGTTATGTTAGTGTCTAAAAGCTAATAAGGGGCCGTTTACCAAAGGCTTAACCGTGTAAGCGATTACCAAGTAATATTATTTCACTGGATGAATATAATAAGGATCAAGAATCTTACCCGGTAAAAGCGAGAGAAGGACCAAGAGTTTTACCTAGTAAGTGAGAGCGACGACTCTTACCACGATAAGCGCTTACTGGATAAATTGTTGTATACTATGTCGTTTTAGTGGACTAAAATCTTACTCAATAAGTATATAATAGTGTTAAATTTTATCAGTAAGCATTTATCAAATAAATGTTTGATAAACGATCTTTTATTAAAGTTTAAAATAATATAAATAACATGAAAACCAACAGGACTTACCATCAAAACCAAGGCCCAACCCAATTGAAAAAAGCCCTAAGCAGTAAGCACTCTTCTATTAAATAAGCTCTGTTATATTACCTAATCGAATCCTCCCTCAACTTGAACGAACATCATCGAGTCCTCTACAGTGATTTGCCATCATGGAATCCTCTACAGCCCTCATTGTTTGCCATCATCGAGTCCTCTGCACGCTGAGGATCTCAAACTGAAGTTGCAAAATCAAGTTAGACAAGGAAGCTGTTGTTCAAATTTTCAACCAGATCGAGGTAAAATCACTATTTAGATTGATATAATAACGTGATGTTCTTTGAATTTCGTTTATTCTATTTATGTCTATCTCAATTTCATTAAAATGGAAGCTGAAATAAGGTTTCACTTTGAACGAATAGTCTATTGAGGATATTTGCATGGTTCAGCTTATTATGATGATCTACTGGTTAGGGTGAGTTTTATATCTTGCCCGATTAACTTTATGTGTATAATTTATAATTCCTTATATTGACTTAGGTTTGGTCAATGCATTATCAAAGTTCAAAAATCAAGGATGCTATTGCTCTACATTGTCCAATGAATCCATCACTGACCAGCCTCTAAGCTTCCTGATCAATAGTTGTTCATCTAATGCAATTAGTTCAACATAAAACAACCTGAAATTTAGTTGGTAATGCCCCAGATATAAAAGTGTCTATTTCTATTATATATTTCTTGTTTTTCAGCTAAGGATAGAGTATCAATCACAAGCAACACAAAATTAACTGCTTATTTTTATTTGTTGTAAATCTTTCAGATTCTATTTCATTTCTCACAACCTTAGGTTTTTAGTCTTTTGACAATGCTGCAAAACATTCTCTTCAAATACCTCTATACAAAGCTAATAAAGAATAGTTAAGGTTTATGTATTATGTATGAGTTGTTGGTAAAGGCAACTCATAAGCTAGAATCCTGTCAAAGGCGAGGACCCTAATTGTTAACTTTGTATTAGGTAACTGATAACACTTATTAAGCAAGTTAAGTTGATGTGCCAGAGGTAGCTTAGGTTGCCACATTTTTTTCTTTTTCTTCTTATCTCCTATACAAAACTCTGTTAAAACAACTCTGTTCACTGGATGCCTTTTGGGTTGGATGGTTAGCTTGGTTGTGAATCTTGTCAGTGGCAGAGATGCATTTTTTTTTCCTTTTTTTACCTGTTCAGCTACTATGACTAAAATAATTAAGGAGATGTTGCCTCCAGATGTACGTGTTGCAAAAGATACTCAAGATCTTTTGATTGGTTGTTGCGTAGGTGAGATCCTTGTCATGCTTTCAAAGAAAACAACATTTCAAAGAATTGCACCGTTATTGGGACTTGGGAGAAATGACTAATAGATTTATGATTACCATCTTTCGTCCCACACGACCATGATTTAATACACACTGATGAAGTTAAATTACCCCAACTGTGACCCTTTTCACTAAAGTGGGATAAACATATAAATGCTTTATGTACTGGTCAGAACTTCATTGTTGTTGGGTTTGTTCTTTCCTATAAAGCCAAAAATACAATATGTCGTTGAAAAACTTACATTTTAAACTCTGTCCAGCTTTCATGTGTCAACTTCATCACTGTTTTTGACTATCAAGCAGATTCATTAAGAGAAAACACAAAACATAAACATTGAACTCCAGTCTCTTAGCTTTTCATCAATATCTGATTCATCCATTTTGGATGAAAATTGAGTGAGTTGTGCATGTTTTCTCACAGCTGCGCAAAACAGTCGTTAAAACAAACATTTGTCTTTGAAACCTCGTTGAGTAAACTCTGAAGCTCAGAGCTTGAAACTTTAAGACCAGATTAGGGAGTGACATATAATATATCAAAATCGTAGCTTGAATCTATGAAGAACAGATGAGAGAACACCATTCTGAAATTAGGAAGAAAGGAGTAAAGTACATAGCTTCTGTCCAGCACCCATCTATAGACTTTGACACAGAATAAGTCGTATCTGCACATTGAATTTGAGAAAACTCAAAATCTCAAAGATGTAGATATATGTTTTATCTTTCCAATACAACTGGAATCATGAATTTTGGAGCTTCGAGGTGAAAGTTGTGCGCAAAAGCTAGAGCAGCGCAAAGCTGACAGCAAGCTTTTAAAAGGGCTATGTAGATCTAGTTCACGTGACCTTTGGTTCATTATCTCTTCAGAGAATCTGAAATCAACTTAGTGAGTCTCATGCTCATTATACTTTTTATGATACAATAATAGCTAAAATTCTTCTAAGTAACCAGCAGACCACAAGTCTCTATATCAAGATTCAAGCATCAAAACTACCTCTACTGCTGCACTCTCTCTGTGCAATTATTTTATATATCAACCTAATCTGCATCATGTTATTGCAAACATATATAAGTAACAATCTCCATCACCCTTCCTCTCAACATTCAAAAAAAGTAACACAAACATATATAATGTTCTTCATCCTGATGATTGGTAACCACAAAGATGTTGTCCCACTTACCTACTGGACTAAATGAATCTATATATCTTCAACATCTTCCTTAAGTTCATGCTATTAATTTCAATTACAATATTCTAATTATTATTATATAAAGATATATTAGAAATAGTTAAATAACTTTCTTAAACCATGTGCATGTGTCTATATAACCAGAGCTTTTGGTTCATCGAAGCTGATCATACCTCTTTCTGATTTGAGGCTGTCTCTGGTCCATCTTGGGTTTTGCTCTGGTCCATTATGACCAGAGCTCTGGTCTACCTCTGGTCCCTTCTGGTCTACCCTCTAGTGTTCTTTGATACACGAATCAACATAGAAGGTTTCTGTCCAACAACTTTACACCAACTTTCACACTAAATTAGACCATGATAGCTCCGGAGTTTGCAAAAACTCAAAACATAAAAAGTGTGCATTGTTTCGTTATCTGTTCAGAGAATCTGAAATCACCTTCTTTGGAGCTCAAACGAATAAGATATGATCTATGTACCACAATCACACAGATCTGTCCAACAGCTTTGCATCAGCACACTGCTGTCCACTTCAATGATGCGTATGACCTCTCTACTGTTCTAAACTTCATAATCCATCTGTTTTCTATCCGGGGCCTTTTGAATCGCCTCAATTGGTTGAAGGCATTTGAATAATCCCAACTCAATATTTGCAGTTTGAAAGATCTCAACCCAACCCAACATAACCCAAACCGTACGTGTGGGTTGGGTTTGGGTTGGTCAGGTTGAAATCTGGTACATTATTTTACAATCTAGCTAAGAGTTTTGTTTAAACGAGGTAAATTAAAATGAGAACATACAAACAACGCTAACAAACTCAAAAAAAGAAGTTGAAAGTTCATGCAAATAAGAAAGTAAAATTACTGTTGAAATTGTAATAATTTTGAATATAGCTAATTACGGGTTGGTCTAATGTCTAATGTACATATATTAATCAAGAACTAAATAATCATATTAAATCTGTGGTATAATGCATCATGTTCATTGGGTTGAGTTGGGTTCAAATTATCCCAACCCTGTTCCAACCCAATAGATGTGGTTTGGACATAATTTTGTATCAACCATATGTCGGGTTATCTCGAGTTGATGTTTTTCTGGGTTTCTTTGGATTGGGTTGACTGGGTTGGTCAGTTTTTGAGCACCTCTGATCCTATATACCTGATTTTGGGGTTGAATGGTTTTTAACCCATTTAAGTTAATCATTAATCGCATAATATAATACCAAACACTCTCACTCATTCAGATTTTCATTCATTACCCCTTAATATCATCAACCAAACATGCTTTGAACCATTATAAACATGTAATGAACTTTATGGTCTTTTTCTTTTGTAGAAAATAATTGCGTCTTTAACTTATAACCCCACCCCATTCGAATAACAGACGCTTGAGGAATTCTATGGTCTTTTTTTTTAATCATGATTTTCTACCATGCTTTGCTATTTTAATAAGCAATTTATATATATATATATATATATATATTGTGATAATTAAGTAGATTATCTTGAAATTATATATATATATATATATATTGTGATAATTAAGTAGATTATCTTGAAATTAGTGGTAATAATTATTCCTGTTCCGCGTCTTACACATCTTTTTGACCAAATAATAGAGTCTCTATTTATATTAAAAAAGTTATTATATTAATTAATAGTGTCTTCATTTTTATTAAAAAAATATTATATTAATTAATTTTGTCCTTATTTGTATCAAAAAATTATTATATTAATTAATTTTGTCTTTATTTGTATTAAAAATTAATATATTAATCAATGTGTCTTTATTTGTATTAAAAATTATTATATTAATTAATAGTGTCTTTATTTTCCGACCTAATTTAATTTTCATGTCTTCTTAATCATATTGGATCGACGTGTCTCGACATTAATAAATATTATCAGACGGCAGACAATGCTTTTTTTTTCTTTTTTAACAAATAATCAAGTCATTTGTGACTCCTCCCCTATTTGAGCAATCATTGATGCTTAAGGAACTTTATGGTTTTTTTTCTTTCTAATCATGATTTTCTACCATGTTAAGCAAATTATTTCTATCCCTTTTGGTTTCACACTTTCACCAGGTTTGGGTCTTCCAAACCCGTTTTTTAATAAGCAGAAAAAAATATTCGGGATCTTTGCGTTTCAGGTCGAACTAGACTTTGAGGTTGAAAAAAATGGTTCAATGAGGCTGTCATACCGACACCAAAACTTTTAAGGGCTGGCCTAACCCGGGCTCAACCAACCTTTTTTCAAGTCAGACCATACTAGATTTGGATTTAAGTTTTTTTTGAATCCTAGATCAATTAGACTCCAAGAAAGAGAAAACAAATACTTACATCAAAAGATATCATAAATATTTAAATGAAAGAAAAGAAAACAATATGTTGGTGCTCGAGGAATCTTTTACGTCTTTCTTGACCAAGCAGATGGTCTTTATTTTCTGACTCAGTTTCACACTTAATCTGAATGTATATTGTTATTCGAGTTGTTGATGTTAGTAGGATCCTTCAATCATACCTTCAATGGCTGCTTCTTCTTCTTCGGCTTCATCCATTCCCAAGACCAACTTCAAGTATGATGTGTTTTTGAGTTTTAGAGGTGAAGATACTCGTAAGAGCTTCGTCGATCATCTTTATGAGGCTCTTAAGAAAGAAAGCATTGAAACTTACAAGGATGACAAGAACCTTGAGAAAGGGAAAAAGATCTGTAAGGAGCTCATTCAAGCCATTGAAGAATCAAGATTCCATGTCATTGTTTTCTCCAAGAACTACGCATCTTCGTCTTGGTGCTTGGACGAACTTGTCATGATTATGGAGTGCCAAAAGAAACAGACTGCGCAGACCCTTTACCCCATCTTCTATGATGTGGAACCCACTGAAGTCCGTAAACAAAGTGGGGCATTTGGAGAAGCCTTTGCTAAATGTAAAAAAGAAGAGTATGAAGGGAAATGGAGAAAGGCTCTAGAAGATGCAGCATCATTCAGTGGGAGGGACTTGAGGACCACCGCAGATGGGTAATTCTTTCAATTTGTTTCTTCTCGTGTTTTATCGTCAAACTCTGACTCGAAATTGAGTACTCTTCGTGAAAGATCAAACTGATATATGATTATATATGTAACTCGTTTATAGCTTCTTATATGTTTGCATTTTGTAGATATATATTGAGAAAGCTAATTGATTCTTCTTTAACATACAGGCATGAAGTTGAATTTATCAAACTAGTTGTTAAGGATATATCATCGAAGTTACCCGCCATCAACGCTGTTGGCAATTTAATAGGCATGAGGACTCGGATAAATGGTGTGGTTTCATCTTTGAACGCATTTCCTAATGAGTTAAGCATGATAGGAATCGCAGGGATGGGAGGTTGTGGGAAGACAACTTTGGCCAGAGCTGTTTTTGATCAAATATGCAATGAGTTTGAAGGTACCAGCTTTGTGGAGAATGTTCGGGAGTGTTCAAATTCTCTTCAATTAGGTTTGAAATCGTTGCAAGAACAAGTCCTTAGAGATGTGTTGAAAAAGCAAGACATATTTGTAAATGGTGTTCTTGAAGGGAAAAAAGAGATAAAAAAGAAGATGTGTGGTATAAAGGTTCTTGTTGTTCTAGATGACGTAGATCATATAGATCAGCTAAAGGCGTTAGCCGGTGAACTTAATTGGTTTATGCCGGGAAGTAAAATTATCATTACAACAAGAGACAAGCAAGTATTGGTAGCACACAAAGTAGTGAACTCAAATATTCACGATGTCAATCTATTAACAGATGACGAAGCAATTTGCCTCTTGAGTAGGTGTGCATTTGGGAAAGAGAGTCCAAATCCAGGATACGAAGAGCTATCAAGAGACATTGTAAGCTATGTTGCTGGTCTCCCCTTAACAATCATAGTTTTGGGTTCGTTTCTCTGTAATGCAAAGGAGCATGTATGGGTAGATACCCTCGCAAGACTTGAAAAAATTCCATTGGATGAAACTCTACAAAAGCTGGAGTTAAGCTATATGGGTCTAGATACTGATTGCAAGGAAATATTCCTAGATGTTGCATGCATATTGAAAGGTTGGGTGAAAGAAGAAGCAATCATAGCGCTTGAAAGCCGTGGATTTCATGCTATACATGGTTTGACTGTTCTTCAGAACAAATCTTTCTTAACTATTTCTGAATATAGGCGCTTCAAGATGCATGACCATATAGAAGAAATGGGGAGATACATTGTTCGTCGTTCAAACCTTAATGAGCCTAGAAGACACTCCCGATTATGGATTACGGAGGAAATTGAARATATATTGGTTAACGATTTGGTAAGAATCAAATTTATTTGTAAAGTTGAAAAAACCCAWCAAATTTWCAATMGTCATGACCYAAGTAAGTTTCATTAGGGGGTGTAAATGATGCGAGTCGAGCTCGAGTATCAATATACTCGACTCAAACTCGATAGCCATTTCTCAAGCTCGAAAACTCGTGAGTAGTTAAAACTAAACTCGGCTCAAACTCGATTGCAATTTTTTAAACTCGAGCTCGAACTCGTTTGAAGCTTGAACTCTTACACAAATCAAGCTCCAACTTGAACCAAACTCGAACTTGAATCAAGCTAACCCATCAAAATTTATGAAATTTTAGGGTCTTCTCTTATAAATTATAAAACTTAAATGTGTTCCCTTAAATTTTAAAAAAACTAATTAAAGAGATGCACCTTAAACTTAATCACAAGAAAAAAACAAAGTTACAAACTTCATCCACCTCCCTCTCTTTTTATAATACCTCTTCATCCTTCTTTTACTATCTCTATTCCAATGTGGGACAACTTTACCAAAACTTTTATAGTTTCTTTGTCTTTTTTAATTATAATTTTTTAGAAAAAGTTATTGATTAGTTTTTATAGTTAAAAATGCACAATATTGTTCAAATATTGTACATATTATATTATAAAACTGATTACATTTTTAAAACTAATTATATATAAACAAATCGAGTATCTCACGAGTTTTTTGAGTCGAGTATTGGGTAGCTCGACTCGACTCGTTAATATTTCGAGTCGAGTTTGAGCCTAGCCTATTCGAGTCGAGTGTTGACCGAGTTTTGACCAAGTCGATCGCGAGTAGCTAGCGAGTTGTCTTGTATCATTTACACCCCTAAGTTTCATGGTCAATTCTTTTGGATTTCAGGGAACTGAAGCAACATGTATAGAGCTGTTGGCGACGAAAAGAAAAAAAACTATTACGAAAGGCCTTAGAAAGATGGAGAAACTTAGATTTCTTCACATGATCAACTACACAATATATGAAGGTGATGAAGATGTCCAATACTTACCAGATTCTTTGCAATATCTAAAGTTGGAACTTGGCTTTTTACGTGTTTTACTGAAAACATTTCAAGCAAGTAATCTTGTTGCTCTTAAAATTCCTTACATGGAACAACTTTGGGAAGGGGGAGAGAGAAAGGTAAGAGTAATGGTTGAATTATTTTTTTGCATCATTTATTATGACACTACACATCTATTGGTATCTTATTACACAATATCCATCTTTTCTTTTTCTTATGATAGGTTCTTCACAAACTCCGATTCCTTGAACTCCCTCGGTCATATTTGAGGACCTTTGACCTTGGGCTAACTCCAAATCTTGAGATATTAAATCTTGAACATAGTCGTGTTTTGGTAGAATTTCACATGCCTCTTCGATTCCCAAAACTCAAATCCCTCAACCTCAGTGGTTCAAAGTTGAGTACCCTTGACCTTAGGTTGGTTCCGAATATCGAGACGTTGAATCTTATGGAATGTTCATATTTGGCAGAACTTCACATTCCATGTGAATGTCCACAACTCAAATTCCTCAACGTGAGTAGTCCAAAGTTGAGGTCCCTTGACTTTATGTTGGTTCCAAATATCGAGACATTGAATCTTAATGGATGTTGTGATTTGGTAGAACTTGTCATGCCATGTAAATGTCCACAACTCACGTCCATCGACCTGAGTAGTTCAAAGTTGAGGTCCCTTGACCTTAGGTTGGTTCCGAATATCGAGACATTGAATCTTCAAGGATGTTATAATTTGGTGGAACTTCACATGCACGATGAATGTTGCAAACTAAGAACCCTCAGCCTTGGATGTCCACAGTTGAGGACCTTTGACCTTGGGATGATTCGGAATCTTGAGGCTTTGACTCTTGATGGGCATGATGATTTGGTACAACTTCTCGTTTCCGTTAGATGTCAACAACTCGAATACCTCAAACTGATTAATTCAAAGTTGAGTACCCTTGAACTGACCCGTAATCTCAAGAAGTTAATTCTTACATCTTGTGATTTGGTAGAACTTTACATCCCCGTTGGAGACGTAATGCTCGATTATCTGAAGATCAAAGGATGTTCAGAGTTGAAGACCCTTGACCTTGGGCGAACTCCAAATCTCCAGAGTTTACACATTGAAGAATGTTCTAGTTTGGTAAAACTTCTTGCTCCCATTGGAGGTCTAAAAAAGTTCACCAACTTAAAAGCAAAAGGTTTTTTGAGGTTTACAAATTTAAATATTGAGGAACGTTATAAATTATTACCTAGCTTAGATCTGCATGGAAAATTGATAGATATATGCCCATTGCACCCCGATGATAATTTCCCCAAGTTTCAGTTTGATTGTACATATCAGGATGATCTACCCTCATTGATTGGAAATGTTGAGAAGCTTATTTCGGTAGGTTCCTCTTGTTCTTGCACAGACCTTGAGAGTTTTTTTGGAAGCATTTGTGGTTTATAGCACTTAGGATACCTTAGACTCGAATGCGATATTCCAGAGGTGCCCAAAGACCTTGATAACTTACAATGTCTAGAGCAGCTCATTTTGTCGTCTCCAAGTATTAAAAATCTTCCTGATAGCATATTATTGTTGAAACATCTGAAATCTCTCAAACTTTATAACTGTGAGCTTCTTGAGAAGTTACCGGAGGATCTTGGTCGATTAGAATGTTTAGAGGATCTATTTTTGATGTCTGATAAGATTAAACATCTTCCGGATACCATTTGTACGTTGAAACATCTGAAACTTGTCACACTTTTTTGCAAGCTTCTTGAGAAGTTACCGGTGGATCTTGGTCGATTAGAATGTTTAGAGAAGCTAATTTTCAAGTCTAAAAAGATTAAACATCTTCCGTATAGCATTTGTAAGTTGAAACATCTGAAATCTTTCGAACTTTATTGTGAGCTTCTTGAGAAGTTACCGGAGGATCTTGACCGATTAGAATGTTTGGAGAAGCTAAATTTCACATCTAAAAAGATTAAACATCTTCCAGATAGCATTTGTATGTTGAAACATCTGGAATCTCTAGCACTTTATGACTGTGAGTTTCTTGAGAAGTTACCGGAGGATCTTGGTCGATTAGAATGTTTAACGTGGCTAATACTAGCACGGTGTCTAGTTTTACAAGATATTCCGAACAACATATGTAGGTTGAAAAGTCTAAAGTATCTCAGTCTCCACGATTCTATTAGAGTTGAGAAATTGCCAGAGGAACTTGGACGTTTAGGATGTTTAAAAAAGTTGGATATACAAGGTACACGCATAAATACTTTTCCCCCGAGCATTTTATTGTTAGGAGGTCTGAAAATTGTTCGATCAGAAGACGGAACAACCACAACTACAACTACAACTACGGGAGGCTGCTGTACTGTACTGTACTGTACCATATTTTCTCTTCTTGGCACGAATGGATCTTACTGCACTGCATCAATAACAAGATGTAGAGATGAAGAGGGGGGTGAAAATGAGGTGCTTACTTATTCTTGACATGAATCAAGTGGGGATGTCAATCTGTTGCATGACTATTTCTTTAAACATGCTTCATATTGTTTCTTCAGGGATGTCATCTTTATGAAGCTATCATACAAGAATGGACTCAGCAGGTGCAGGATATGGTAATATGAAGAAGTTTGTTGTGGTTGAGTACTATTCAAAGGTGTTTTTTTTTCATGGTTTCATATAAATTGAACCTTAAATGCATATCTTTCGAGCACTAATTGAGATCTAAAAAGAAATCATAGGTATGAAGCTGAATTTATCAGACATAGTTGTTACGGATATTTCATTGTTAAGTTCCATCCATGCATGAGGACTCGGATAAATGGCGTGGTTTCATCTTTAAACACCCTACACCGTTGATTCTTCATGCTACTCCTGAAATGTAATTAAACAAAATGTCAATTAGGATCTATATATGTATGTTACATATATACGTACATACATGAACAGTGTTTGATAAATGCATATTTGAACTCAGTATTATATCAAAATCTCTTACACTTCATCATGATTTAATAGATAATAGACCCCCTTAATCTTGATTTTTGGTAGGTGTAAAAAGAGGATAGATTTTGGTGTAGCTTCTTTGATCATCCGATATTTCGACTCACATTCAATCTTGTTGGGGGTTCTAATTGTAGAGATCAAAAGGGTTTCAAGTTTTCATGAAATCACGTTGTTCCAGATATGGAATTATCATGATGAAGCTGCAGCCCAAGAAGAAGCCCAGAAACAGCAGCCCAAAAACAGCAGCCACATCTGGCGGTTTTCTGGGATCGATTGGAAAAGGGAGACGGGGACAAGAACCAGAGGGCAGAAATCAGAGAGCAGAACCAGAAACAGAGAGAGGGCAGAAATCGATCGATTGAGAGGGAGCAGAACTGGAAACTGTCGAGAAGGAGGGAGCAAGACAGGAAGCCGATTGGGAGAGGGATTGATCAGAAATCGATCAGCAGAGAGAGGAAGCAGAAACTGTCGATCCGAGAGGAACGAGGACCAGAAATCGGGAAGAAACAGTAAGCAGATTTACCGATTTTCGGAGCTCTCAGTCGATTTTTAGAGGGAGATCCAATGTCCGATTTTCAGATTCAGGGAGGCGATTTTGGAGACAATTACCAGGGCTCTCCTTAATTTCAATTCTGCAAACTTTTGTAAGTACCTTTGGTTTTTAAAATTTCAGATATGAGCAATTTTATAGGACACTATTTGAAAAACCCTCCTATAAAACAAGTATTCTATAAGAAATTGAGTTTATAGGACACTTTCTCAAAAGTGTCCTATAAAGTTGCTAATGCGATGTTTTGTATTAAAAATATCCTAAAAAACTTGTTAAGAGAGTTGAATATAGAAGGTACAAACATAAGACATCTTCCAAAAAGCATTTTTGAGTTGAAAATAGAACGTGCACACATAAGAGAAATAATTTTTGAGTTGGATATCGAAGGTATAGACATAAGAGAGAATTTTTGAGTTGCCATGTCTGCGCATTGTTGGTTATAGATGGCTTCTTCAGTCGTATGGTTTTACATCCGAGCTACGAACCTCAGAAGACGAAACATTCTGCTACATGGAGCTGTAAATGAGATTCAGGCAACCACAACACAAGTCTCCATGGAAGATTTTGAGAGGTCCCAAAACAACTATATATTGTAACAGGTACTTTCTCTCCATTTTTTATTGATCATCTTAATTACTTTGATTTGAAAATTTGAATCTTCAAATGGATGTATAACAATAATCAATTTTTTGGATGATTTCTGCAATTGAAATTGTATGGGTGTTGCTATCGATCCTAACATTTAACCATTTCTTGCATTTCCGAGTTCTGATGAACACCACGAGGTGATTCTTTTACCATTTCTCTTGTTTTATGTTAACATTCAAACGTTTTATTTCTCAAATTTAAAATTCATATACATATTTTGTATTTTTTTCCCCTTGTAAAATGTTATTATGGTGGTTGCATGTTTTTTTTGGTTATGTTGTTTGTTTTTGTGTGCTTAGGCTCTGCGTTTCAGAACTTCATTGAATAGAAGGATCATGCCGTTTAATCTTCGGTCTCAATGGTTTGATTTCGGCTCAATCAATTTTCCATACCTGAAACCTTTTTGTCAAACGTGGGACTTGATATTGTGTTCCTGCAATCTCAACTTAACTGTTGTTCATGATTCTCATGGTGAAGCTCTAATTCATCTCTGCAGATTCTTACCTAAATGATCTCTTACAGTTCCAAAAAAAGGAAGGAAACTTCCAGAAGAAGAAAGAAGAGGATGTGGTGGATTTAAAAGGAGGATGCACGGAGAGAAAAAGGGGAGGTAAAAACACAGGGGTGGGTTTGGAGGGCAGCACATTCGCATCAAAATAGAGGTTGGAACAGGAGTCTCATGTTCTATATCAGCATAGAGATCTTGTTGGCCACAAAGTTTTTGCCTTTTGGTCTTAGTAACTCCCCGCCGGTGGGGGAATCCGCTCCCGGGTCTGCTGCGTCTGGCCCGTTCAGTGACTGCGGTTCTTGGAAGTCTTGTCAGTGGTCAATTTCTTCGTTGGGATCGAATCTTCCTGGCAGCGGGCGAGAAGAGGAGCAGCAAACGACAGTGATAGAAGAACCTCGATTAGAGTTGCAAGAAGCGAATACCTCATCTACCGCATCAACAGGTAATCCCGCATCTGAGGTGGAGCCGATCTTGAACATAAAAAATATATATAATTTTAAAAAGACACTGAACAAATTCGCTCCTTGGTTTGGTAATGGCAGGCTGACAATCGGCAGAAGATGCTGAGCAGCTTACGAACCCAGCCTTTCCCCCGAAAAGAAGATTTACGCAGAAAGGTAACGGAAGTCGGCCATAGTGATCCGGGAGTCCCGTGTGGAAGAAACTGTTATGATGTGAGAACCGGCTTCAGGTGCTCTAGGATTGAACGAAGATATCGTTTTACGTGATCTATATTTTTGGATAGTTTCTTACAAAGAAAATGCAGGACAAATGTATCATAAAGCAATCAAGAGAAAGGATTTTACAAAAACTCTTAAAACCCGCATAAAGTATAGTGGTCATCATTTCAAATCTTGCAAGACTATTGAGTTTGGAAATTTTCAGGCTGTTTTCCAGTCCCCTAAAATTAATCAGAGGTATGTGTAAATTGATATGGACAATTAAAAGAAATTGAATCAAAATAATCTAATGAATAAAATGGTTGGACACGTTGAATATGATTGTATATCTATACTATATTATAAAATATATGACAAAAACTTTTAAAAATCATTTTTATGCATAAAATATTATTTATTGATATATATTACTTAAAATTCAAGATTACAAGTAAATTGTCCGTAAGTATAATTAAAGTTTTATGTTTGAAATCGAGTAACTAATTTCAGATAAACATAATTAAATAAAGGATAAACAATTTATTTTAAATATAAAAAAACCAAAATATAATTAGGATAATCATTGAATTCTAACAAAATAATTAATTATTATTTTTATAAAATTTTTTATTATTAAACCAAAAATTAAAAAACGAATTAAAGAAATACACAAAGAAGGAGAAATTTTAAGTAGTTAGTTTGACACTAATATCAATATTTTTTATGATATCTTCATATTTATACTTTATTCAAAAATAAAAACATTATCGCTTTCTCAAAACCACATAAAACTGTATTATAACATCGACCAAGACAAAAAAATGAAACACTAAAATCGAAATGTATCTCACTACATTGTGCAAGTACACTTCTAGTATTTGCAAAATTGTTGCGAATAGAAACCTTTTTATTAGGTTTACATTAAAAAAACCTATAATTTTTAGACAATTTTAATTTTAATTCATGTCTTAATAATCGAATGAATTAATTTGTCTTAAATGTTACTTGATTTTGAATATCAATTTTGTTGATCCATTTAATTTGATCTGCAATTAGTATTTATATAATGTTGGTTTACAGTTAGATAAATTCACATACTAACTACAAACTTGTGTCATGTTAATCATGGTTTCAAGGATTTACTCGAATCGATCGGTAAGATAATGATGATTGGTGGAACCCAAGTACTGAATCGTACAGATGAAGAGAAATTAGTTAGTAGTCTGTATATTTTCACAAGACTTAAATCAACTATACACAGTGCGTATCATACTGTCATTCATCAGTCATGACACTTATCATGTATGCATGTCTGTATGGTTTGTACCAGTAATTTTGTATTCATAGTGGCTTGGATGTTCATTCACACGACGTTCCAACACATGCTAAGCTCTCCCGTTTTCTGGAGTACCAAGAAGCAATTGGCTGTTTCCGACTCCTCTTCTGTAGCAAAGTATCGATCAATGGCCACTACCATTAGCGCGCTCTTAATTACAACTACGATGGATGTTGGATCATCGTGAAGTTCCTTGTTTGGGTCCTACTATACACCACCGTTTTGTTAGAATAAATAGAATATATACAAGGCGAAAAATCGTGTGAGAAAAAAAGTTAAGATAAAAAGCATAAGAAGAGATCTAGACTCTTTGTCATCTTTAATCTTAAACTCATCCATGAATCACGCTTGATCCGATGCATCTCATCCTAATATGCATCTAAGGGTGGATAGCCCAACCCTATATTACAAAAGACTAAACCTAAACTTGGCAGCTTGCAAATTAACCAACTGTTAACAAATCACTAACTACTTAACATACCAAGTTAAGTTGACCAAACTACCCTCCATGATTACATAGGTTGATGAGCTTATTGGTTAAGCTATAAATAAATAATATAAATTGAAAAGGATGTGGAATGCACCCAATACCTAAATGGTATAATAAGCCAAAATCAGGACAAATCAAAAGTCAATTGCAATACTAAAACAATAACATTGTTGTAAAAACTCAAAAACATCAAACAGAACATATGAATGGTATCACTATCATACATTTCTACTTAATAACATTCACAACCACAACCACAACCACAACCATGAACCTCCTTGGCATGATCACTCATCCTCTCTTTCTGGTGGAAGTCCACAAGGCAACAACATTTTCTGCAAAACAAATATTTATTCACCAAAAATCACATTCCACACTGCTTATTGATAAATACCAACAGGTGATAAGAAGGCATAAAAACTGAAAGGTACAATGGCAAAATTAATGACACAATGTGGAAATCAAAGGCATGATGACTTACTGATTAAGTCACCGTCTTAACCATTAGGTCCTAATCACACAACCATATATGGTTTACCGTTTTAGGGGTTGTTCAGTTGTGAGTTAATGGGCTGAATAAGCTGAATCATGTATGGCTTATTCGGTAAACCATACAAGTTTGTTTGTTTGTGGCTAAATGCTTTGGTTAAAGGGCTAATTCAGTCGGCTAGATTAGGGTGTTATATACATTCAGCACCATTTTTCCAAGATATGCCCTTCTCATAAAAAAGTCTCCCTTAACGGAAAACACTCCCATCGCATCTCTTCCAGCGCCTCACCGTCACAGTCATCTCCTAGTTTTGTATAACTTTCGCCCTACCCACTTCACCACAGATTTATGCCCTCCTTCCATCTGGATCTGATGCTGCTGGTGAAGAGTTTTCTCTCCATCTCTCAATCTCGATTTGTTTAAACATTAGTTTCAAGTCTTCTGGTGGTTCCTTTGGTTACGTTTCTTTTATTTAGAAAACGGTGGGCCATTGATCTTAAGGGCATCTTTGCATGTATTGATATGATCTCTATATGTATTTCGATTTTGGTTACAATTCTTGTATTTACAAGGAAGTTCTAATTGACCAAACTGGGTTTGTTTTCTCTTTTTCTGTAAAATATTTTCAGGCTCTGGTGGTGTATCTTCATGTTGCACTCACCAAGGTTTCCAGTGTGGGTTTGGTCCAAAAAGATCATCACAATGATAGGTTAAGCATGGGGTTTGGTTAGAACAGAAGGTGTTCATGAAAAAAATGATGCAGAGAAATGTGGGTTGTATTTGGGTATAAAGAAAAAAAAAAAAAAAAAAAAAAACCAGGGAAAAAATGGTAAACTGTTATATTCATACAGTTTACTCAGCACAATAACTGAACAAGACTTTATCCTAATCCATACAGACATGAGACAACTAATTTCCTACAGAGTACACACAACTTAATCTGTAAAAGGCTTATTGAAAAACCAACCAATGAGCCCCTAAGTCATTTAGCCCATTAAGTCATAATCAAACACCACCTCTTTTACCAAGCAATCAAAAATATAGCCAAGAAAAGACAAATATTAATCTTAAAAAGGTAATCAAGGAGAAATTGATAAGGAAAATACCTGCATAAAATTGTAGCGTTCTCTTCCAATTGATTCATTTTCAGCTATTGCAAAATAAGCAAGCATAGGGTAATGTCCAACATATGATGCATAGCTGTCTCGCTGGATATTAACAGCCCATTCACTTCCAAGTAAACAAGAAAGTATCATATAACTATACACATGTGTTTGGGAGTTGCTTTAAGGTGAAAATCGTTAATTTTATAATTCGACATTAATACACCCTTTAACGTTTTGAGCTCTGACTTCAGACATTGAACTTTGTAACAGCGACAGAAAACAGAAAATGTTAAAGTCATAGACTTTCAATGACTCCATATCAATTTTATATTATAAGCACATGTTTCAACCTCATAAGTAAATGCATCTCTCGTTTTGTAAAGAAGTGCATATGTGATCTTTACATATACAAAAAGAAATTACTCACAATCTATTCATATCTGCATGTCCTGTTCCTACATACTTGGCTTGCAAATGCTCAAGTTGGGAGTTGATATTAAACCTGTCACTAGCCTGTCAAGCATCCACATGAAAAATTATTAAAAATAATTTCAAACAAATCATCAAAACAAACAAATGAACAAGCAAATAAATACACCGGTTTGAGCTATAAAGGGAACTTGAGCAGTCAATCCACATATAGTAGTGAAGAAACCAATACAAAGTCAAAAAGTTGATCCACTCAAGTAAAAGCATATTACTAATACGACATCAACAAAAGATTTAAACTTCAGTTGCGGAGCTGATACATAAACGAACACAGAGGGGAGACACTAAATTCAGAGAGATATCACAGGTAAAAATGAATGATTAAATTTTCGCCAACTGATTCTTTCCTTATGCTGGGGAGTAAAATCTATGTTTTGCTGTGATATTTGAATCTCATCATGTTTGATTTATAAACAAAATTTGGTAAGAGTTTTAGAAAAAATAACATAAAACATGGATTTTAAACCCCACATTACATTATGGTCTACAGCAGGGGTTTTACATTGACATGAGAAGAGAAAAAAACAGAACTACATAGCCATAGGAACATTAACACATAAGATGGTGCGTAAATCATCTTCTCCAATTGATAATACTTCTTTCACTTAAAAGAATCCCAAGTCCCTTGCTCGCTATCTTTTTGATAAGACATACAAATGGTAACAAAATTTGTCGTCCACTGAATTCAGTTCTTGCCCCTCCACTTGTGATAATAAAATTAATATCTAACTTCTAAATATCAGATGACTTAACATTAAACTTCAAAATTAGTAAAAAAGAAGTAGTTTGGCAAATAATAAGAATCGACATTGGTATGATTTTTTTAGAAATACCCCAATTCGGTTCACTTATAGTAGAAGGAAACGGGGAGAACCACAACTCATGGGGACCACTCCAGAATATGAGAAAGCTGGGAGTAAGTCTGTTAGAAGGAAGTTTGGGAAATTACTCTCAATAAATCTAGTATAAATTGGGTGGTGAGGCGAGTATTGCTCTCATGCATATTTTTCACTTGTAAACCTGGAGAGAGTGGACTCTCGAATTGCCATGAGTTCTTTTGCTTGTTAATGGTAATCATATGACCATTGCAGGCTAATTCACCTTGTTCACCATATTTTTAGTTACTATCAATCCAATTACTGTTCCTTTTCCAAATTCTGGTTGTGTGAGTTACGAAGATTCATAACAGATTTTAAACAAAAAATAGATAATTTATTAGTTTTATTACCTGTGGTATTTACTGAATGGTGACTTTTTTTGATGGTTTATAATATCAAGCACTTTATGTTTAATGGTTAATGGTTATAGAGATTTTTATAATATTCTATTGTTTTTGTAATTATCGTTCCATGTAATCTAAATTAATAAGAGATATATGAAAAAGAACATTGGAATGACTTGCACCATCAATACTACATGGCATCCTGGTGTACCATTTCATGGGGCCATAACAAATTAACAAGTACATTGTCGACAAATACAGAGTATAGTGAAAACATTTTTGGGTATATGCCATACTTACCTGCATATTGACCCTGTTGCTATGAGTTCAGATCTTCAAAATTTTCCAGAAGCTGTAAGTCTGTAACATCATCTCTAGGATTAGTATCAAATAAGATAATGTCTCAAGTTGTAGCATATTACTAAATTGAGAAAATCACACTACTAGTTATATTGATGCATATATCCATGTAGTTGTTGTATAGAGCAAGTGTTTAAGCATGGGTGTATATTTGTTATCAGTTGCTTTCTCTTCTTCTTTCCATGTAATCAATAAAATGAGTCTGAGAAAAACTAAAACACCCAACAATGGATATACTCCCAAGCTTCACCCAATAACCAAAAATTAACGCTCAAATGAAGATAACAATAACAAATATTATTAGAAAGGACCAACATGAAAGGAAACCAACAGATAGCCAACGAAACAAAAGCCAAGCACAGAACATACTGAAAATACCGAAGGGCCATTGGCCCAGTGGTACCAGTAACCCAACCTTCCTAAGGGTCAAGGGTTCTAACCTCACCAAAGGTGAGGAGTGTGTGCGTCTCATTAGGCGTATATAAATATTATATACTTAAAAAAACCACAAGGATAATGGAGAGCATATGTTCATTTGATGTTTTGGAATTAAGGAAGTATGAGTTGTAAAGTAGCTGTCATTGCATCTTTGTATGGTAAGCAACAAAAACTGAAAAACATACAGATTGACAATCAGGAAATTTGAAATGGAGATGTGTCTGCGGCTATCTTTTTGTTTCTTTCCCCAACTCAAACCCTTGTATTCTACTACATTGCTGCAGCTCTAATGGATGCCTCACATCAAATGCACAAACAATTTTCACTCTTGTACTCGTTCTAAACAAAAACACACATGATAGAGAAAACAGGATTTGCTTCTAGCATGTCAAGTCCAAAAATTAGTATTTCATAACAAAATTCCTTATTCCCAGTGTTCTAAAGTTGGTTCAAGTGGGCGCCTAAACAACTAGGAAAATTAGAGGCGAAAATCAGTAGTTTAAGCATATTAATCCACATTATTCAGAATTAAGCGAACAAATGGCCCACCAACTTGGCCTAATTTATCAATCAGAAAACCCAACCGATGAGACATACAGTTCTTTGAGTCAATGTCAGAGAATGGATAAAGACAATCAGGGCCGGTCCTGAGATTGATGCTCAAGGTGGAAAGGCTAAAAAATACCCCTACGTCAATGTTTTAGCACACACATTAAGACCTCTAGATGACCATTATGGTCATATCCTTGGGTTGGTGTTCTCTTTTAATGAACATGTATTGCAAGTTTGGCTCCTTAGTCCTGAGGCATGAGCAAATCTAGCATATGAACTATACCATGAAATAACAACTCATACCAATCAAGTACAAATAAGAGGGATGTAGCCTATAAACAGTGAAACACAATTCTATCTCTCAAATCTCAAGTAGTTGATCTCAACACACAATCCAGCCAAAGACATAAAACCCAAATAGAACTTTAGAGTTTAGATAGCAGGCAGTATCCCATAAATGGTTAGACACCAAAGTAAATTCCATCAAAGTATTTTTTTTTTTTCACTCTATGTGGGTATACTTGGTTCGTTTGGTTTGATTTTTATAGCATCTTAGGTTTGGGTATACTTGGTTCCTTTAGTTTGATTCTTAAGCATCTTAGATTTCGGCAGCAGCTCTTTTGTTGCCTTATAAAATATTAGATGTTGTAATTTTGATTCTTGATGCATGGTCTGATGGTCTGATAGTCAAAGATGGCTAATGCTTGTGTGCTTCTCTAAACCATGTCAAGCCAGCGATTGGTATAGAACAACCAAAATCAGAATGTCAGAATCTGAAAACCGAAACGTTGAAGATAAACACATCAAACCGTAAAAGATCAAAACAGAAAGTATAAAACACAACTTTAATCTCAAATTAAGAAACAATTGCAAGAAGCCATCAAGTCAAGATTTACCATGTAGTCATCTAATATGTTGAATTAATCTCAAATAAAAAAGTTCAAAATACAAGCGCAAGACTGCAAGTAAAAATTTAAAACACGATTGCAAGAAACCATCAAACCTCTTGATTCGATCGATATTGAAGTCTTGCGATTCTGAAGTCTTCAACTCTGGACTAGGGCAAAATGTTAGATTTGAGATAGAGAGCCGCTGAAAGTTGGTCGGGTAATCGGGTTCTGCCGGGTACATTGGGCTGACCCAAATCCAGCCCAATAGATATGGTTCGCCTGATTTTGTATCGATTATCCGACAGGTTATCTCGGATTGAGTTTTGACGGGTCGGTCAGGTTGTTCGGTTTTTTGAAAACAAAAACAGAGTCATAATAAACTAAGAGGTTATTTGTTTACCTCTTAATAGTTTCATTAAGAGACATACTCTGAATCATTAAAAGGTGCATCTTGTTTGACAAAAAAAAAAAATTGTCTCTTAATGGTTTTAAAACCCTCTGAATGATTTTTGTATCATGTGTCTCCTTGAACCATTAAGCGTCGTAACTTCATTGTATACAATTAGCAAACAATTATATTTCATTTTGCACTATATTAAGAGAGTCTCTTAATCATTCTGCACTGAACCATTCAGCAACTGTCAAACAACCCCTAAAGCTAATCAAGTAACCATCAAACTATATATACATCCAATTTGTAATCATAATACTAATCGAGTAAGGAGTAACTAACTAACTGCAATATCCAAATTCCGGAACTGGAAATCCATAAGATGAGAGAAAGCAAATAAATTGAGGGAATTGAGTGAAACAAATGAAAGTCTTAAATTGCGATGTCGCAGAGCCGAGTGAAATTGAATTGGTTAAGAGATTTAAGACTGAAATCAAAGCAATTAGAGAATAGAGAGGTGAGAGCCGAGAGCAATCGAGTCTAGAGTAGAAGCGGCATAACTCATGACGCGGAGAAGATGAAAAAGAAAAACCATGATAGTTTTTACCTAAACCGAAACTAGCCATAGTAAATAGACATTGGGTCAGTAATGCCCTGTAAGTTTGTCCTTAACATCAAACATAAAACAAGAAATTAAATATGTTATATATTTCTACTACTTTAGGATCCAAACTTTTACATGTTGAAACTCAAAGTTAACGGAGATATTGACAATTTTTTGGAAGCAATAAGTTGGGATTGTAGCTGCATGATTACCTAATACCTCCAGAAGTAAGAAAGGATGGTTGGAGAAAAAATACCCAAAATATTCATTTCCTCCATTTTGGGAAAGCTGTTGGAGATGCTCTAAGTAAACAAAAACAACGAAAGCATGGTGAACAAAAACAGCTAAGAGATTTAGGAATTAAAAAACAAAAACAGAGCCATAGAAAACTAAAGGATAATCAAGTAACCATCTAACCATCTAATTTGTAATCGAAATACTAACCGAGTAAGGATTAACTAACTAGCTAACCGTGGTATCCAGATTTTATAACCAGGAATCCAGAAGATGATTAAAAAAAATACATAAATCAAGGGAATCGAGTGAAACACTGTAAAGTCTTGAATTATGAGACCGCGAAGCTGAGTGAAATCGAATTGGTTAAAAGAATTTATGACTGGAATTGGAGCGATTAGAGAATAAAGAGATGATAGTTGAGAGACAAGAGCAATAGAGTGTAGGACAGAAGTGTCGTAAGTCATGAGGCAGAGAAGATGAGAAAGAAACGTCGTGATATGGTTTTTTAATGGGTAAAATAGATAATTTATACAAATTCAGATGTTTATCAGCTTACAAAACAAACAGTCTTATTGATTCAAATTTCAGACTTCGGCACCACCTTTTATAAATCATAATTGAAATAGAACTTTAGATTTCAGCACCTCTTAAAAAACAAACATCACATTACTTTCTTAGTCTTATAATTTCTAATTGTTCAAGTACTTAAGTGTTCTAAGCTTTTGGTATTCTAGTAATTTATGCTTTAAGTTTGTAAGTCTTTTGTAATTTCTTTATGTATTCAAGCTTTTATAAGGTTTAAATCGAAATTGTGGGTGTTTTTATGTCTTAATCTCTGTTACTAATTGCTTTCAAGTATTCTTGTTAAATTGCTATTTACTTAGTGCTTCTTTTGAGTTTTAAGTAATATGTATCAATAAATCTATACTATATTATAAATCATTTGATAAAAACTCTTAAAGACTAAATTTTATGTTTGAAGTACTGTTTATTGATGCATATTACTTAAAATCCAAGATTACAAATAATTTTGCATAGGTACAATTTATCAAATCTTCATTTTTAAATTTATGTAACTAACTGCAGATAAACGTAATCAAATACATGATAAACATCCATTTTAAATATAAAAAATCTAAAATGTAATTAAGATAATCATTGAGTTCTAACATAATGTTAAATTATTATCTATATAAAAATCTATATTATTAAACCAAAAATAAATTTTTTTGTTATTAAATCTAAATTAAATTTTAATAAAAAATGAATTAAAGAAGTTACAATAAAAAGAAAACGATAACTATTAAATAGTTAATTTGATATTCATATCGATTTATTTTTTTCAAAATTTTATGCTATCTTTAAGTTTATATTTCATTGAAAAATAAAAACATGATCGCTTTCTCAAAACCACATAAAATTGTATTATATCGATAGAGATAAAGAATAAAAACTAAACATTAAAATCGAGATTTATTTTGCTGCATTGCGCGAGTACACTTCTAGTAATATTTAATGAATAAAAACTGATTTTTAAGATTTTTGTCAAATAATTTATAATGCAGTGCATATGTTAAATACAATAAGCATATTTAAAAAATAAAAGAATCAGAAGAAAACTGTAAAAAGACAACATTAACTCTCACTTAACGAAGTCACAACTAGTGGAGTTAGAGTAAGGGGCTGTTTACCCAAATGTTTATCCATTAAGTGTTTACATATAGAAGTCAACACTATAATTTACTGATGCGTAAGATTTTAGTATTACCAAAACGTATCGAATGCAACAATTTACTGAGTAAGCGCTACCTAGGTAAGAGTCGTCATATTCACTTACCGGATAAGACTCTCCATCCTTCTCACAACTCTTATCCAGTAAGATTTTTGGCCCTTATCATGTTCATCTGATGAGAAATTTATTCGATAAACACTTATCAAGTAAGCGTTTAGTAAACAACTCCTAAGTCACTCAATCCCAAACAAAAGTGAAACCATGATAACCTAGCAAGTAATTATTTCGGTTGAAGACCCGATCCAAAACTTTTAACAACCACATTGACGAAATTTGTAATTTACTATATAGTAGATTACATTTTTCGTTCATGTGGTTTTCAAAATTCCGATTATCATCTCTATGGTTTGTAATTCATTTCTATTTTAGTCCCCGAGGCTAAAACACTATTTTCAAGTGTGAATGACTAAAATAGAAATGAATTTTAAATCACAAGGACGAAAAATACGATAAATTTTAAAATTTTAAAGACAAAAAAGGTACTGAATTATAAACTATATAGATGAAATTTATAATTTCAAAACCACAAGGACAAAGATAGAGATTTTCAACAAATCACATGGATTAAAAACGCAATCTACTCTTTACTGTATAAATTAGAGTAATTACACTGGTGGTCCCGATGGTTTTCTCAAATTTTAGATTTGGTCCATAAAACAAACTATCTACATTGATGATCCTAACTTTTCATTTTTATAACACCCATCGTCCCTCCACTTAACAACGTTACTTAGAAACCGTATAACGGACTAATTGATTTTTAAACAAACTATAGAGACCAAAGGTATAACCTACTCTAAATTATGCGATTCACGTTTCCTTTTTTTAATTTTTTTTATATAACCAATCACAAATTAAATTATCTTAAAATAAAGGATATATTAAATAAAAATATTTTATATTTATTTAAAAATTATTAAATTCAAAAAAAAAATTATCGTTAAAAAATTTCAAATTTAGAAAAATAAAAGAAATTAAGATAAATTCATATAATGCGGAGAAGGTATCCAAGGGCCGAAACGAAACGACACTGAAGGGTCTTCAATTAAAGCTTCGCCAGTACTGAAAGACGACTAAAGATTTATAAAGCAGACTTAAGGATAATACCCCACCTTACCAGATCTGTAAAAAAAGGAAAGGCTCGAAAGACCTACTTGACAGGTTTCCTTATGGGTGAGTTCATAGGTGGTTTAAGTCGAGTGTAGCGAAGGGAATGGAATGAACTGCACGAAGCTGAAAAGCCGTAGTGCGCTAGCGTTAGCGAGTTAGCGCAACATCTTATAAATTCATATAATTTTTAAGTGGAGAATTAAAATATGCGTGCAAAATATTGGAAATTAAGTTCGGTTAGCGTGATTATTAGTATATAGTCAAACTTCAAATATTTAAAATAACAACAAAATAAAAATTATAAAACACTGATTATTCAAACAACTAAGAAAATTATCACTACAACAAAATTAGGTTTATATGACGCCAAAAAAAACAAGAATCATAATAGACCACTTTATAAGACTTAATTTATAGTTATAAAAAATAAAGTGTACTATCTAAAAACGTTAAGTTTGTAGTACGCTTTTAACATCCTAACAAGTTTTTAGGACATTATAATACAACACATCACATTAGTAATTTTATATGACACTATTTAAAAATGTTTCTTATAAAAGCCAACGTCCTATAAAAGGATGGGTTTTTAGGACGTTTAATTTTTTTTTGACGTCACATAAACTTAATTTTGTTGCAGTGATAGTTTTATTTGAATAATCAATGTTTTTAATCTTAATTTATATTTTTACTTTATTGTTATTTTAATTATTTGTAGTTTGACGATGTATTAATAATCTCATGTTCACCAGTCTTAATTTTCAATATTTTGCACGCATATTTCAATTCCCAACCCAAAAATTATATGAATTTATCATGATTTCCCTTGTTTTTGTAAACTTTATATTTTTTAACGCTAAACTTTTTTGTGAATTCAGTAGTTTTTAAATAAATAATAAGATTTATGATTGGATATATAAAATATATTTAGTAAAAAAAAAAACACGAGTCACATTAAATTTTAGAACATATTACACTTTTGGTCCCTATAGTTTTTCTAAAGACCGATTAGTTTATCATAACAGTTGCTAACTAACGTCGTTAAATGAAGGACCATGGTATTATGAAAATGAAAAGTTAGAAATCATCAATGTAGATAGTTTGTTTTAGAGACCAAATCCACAATTTGAACAAACAATAAGGACCACCATCGTCAAAAATGAGAAAATGAGGGATTCCAATTTAAAAATAAAACAGGACAAAAATGAATGGCTTCGCCCGGGTTCGAACCGGAGACCTTCAGTGTGTTAGACTGACGTGATAACCAACTACACCACGAAACCTTTGGTGAACTAAGCAAACAAACACGTCATATATCCAAATTCAAATCCGAGGCTTGTTGATTGTAATCTAATCTAGGGTTTATTCGGAACAACGGACTGGATGTTTCTCTCGACGATCTCATTTAGAGCAATAAGAAATCGAGGTCGGACGATCTCGTTTCTTACTGTTGACGAATTTCTATCGACCATTGTTTCTCTGGTTATATAATTCGATAGATCATTGTTGTTTGATGCCTGAATTAGGGTTTTATTTATGCATTTGGGTTTCTCCATCACTCTTCTGGTTTGAACTCTTTCTTCTAAAAGATTTATTCTTCAGTGGGTTTTTGATGTTTGCTTCTCCATTTTGTGTTTTTCTTCGATGGGTTTCTTACACAGTTCATTGTTTACCAAGAGGAACAGGGACAACTTCTTCATTTGGTGTTCTTTGTGATTACCTTTGCCGTTCCTGAAGGTCGTGGAACAAACCCTGAGGTTTATAGATCCTGTAATGGTTGCATTTTAGGTTCTTTCTGATTGATTTCTATGTCTTGATTCTGAAGCTTTTGAAACTTGATATGGATCAAGCCACGGAAGCTTTGGTTATCATCAAAATCTTAGCTTGACAAAATTTGAATATTTTGTATAGGTTGGGTCTGGTTTGTGAGTCTTAACACAATCCCAGTTTCTCATATACATTCTCAAAGCAGGTCCGTTGTTTAGTTTTGTTGATGATTGTGGTTCAGTTGGATGGTTTTTAACATAGAACTTCCATAAAATCTCAAATGCTATGGGAATGGGAATGAGAAAAAGATGAAATGCTATCTGACCAAGAACTTTGTGATTGATGTTTTGGTTTTGCAGTTCCTTTGACATTTTTGTTGGTGACCCTTAGCCCTTAAGTCCCTGATAATGGCAACTAATCAGCGATAACTGGATCCAAGATATCTGACCAATAGTTGAAGGACTTGTTATGTCACTTGCTTCTATTTCAGTTCTTAGCTTGTTAGCTGCTGCTGTTGGCTTCAGTCTCCGACTGCATTTTCACTCAAATGAGAAAGCTCCATCATTCCTTCCGGCCTCTTCCCCACCCAAGTCGCATCGTCTCCACCACCGCCGCGCCATCGTACCCCACCAACCATGAAAACCACCACCACCTTGATAATGATGAAAACATCGTATCCACTCTTGCTGACATTGTTCGAGGAAACCAAAGCTGGAGTTCATCTTTCAACAGCACATTCATCTCCAACAACTTGAAGACACATCATGTCGAAAAGCTCTTGCTCAGAACCCTAGACAATCCAAGGTTAGCTTTACGCTTCTTCAATTTCTTAGGCCTGCACAGGAACTTCAACCACTCTACTATGTCGTTTTGCATCCTTATACACGCCCTCGTCCAAAATAATCTCTTATGGCCTGCATCTTCTCTAATTCAAACGCTCTTGTTACGAACATCTGATCCAAGAATTGTGTTTGGGCATTACTACGATACGTATGTGAATTGCAACTTTTCGAGAAGTATAGGATTTGATTTGTTGATTAACGCCTATGTTCAAGGGAGGAGGGTGTTAGATTCTTTTCTGGTTGTGAATTTGATGAAAGAGAGGAATTTGATGCCTGAGATTAGGACTGTAAGTGATGTTTTTAATGGATTGATTCGAATTAGGCGATTTGATTTGGTATTGAAGTTTTTTGATGAGATGATTGAAATGGGCATCAAGGGCAATGCATATATACATACTGCTGTAATTCGATGTTTGTGCGAGTTGAAGAATTTTGATAGGGCAAAGGAAATGGTACAGTGGTTAGAGTGTAATGGGTATGAGTTAAATATTATTGTGTACAATGTGTTGATTCATGGGCTCAGCAAGGGGCAAAGGATGGAGGAGGCAATGGAGAGCAAGAAAGTGTTGGCATTAAAGGGTTTGAAAGCTGATGTGGTCACATATTGCAGTTTAATTATGGGTTTTTGTAAATTACAACAATTCAAAACGGCTAGAATTCTAGTGAGTGAAATGGTGGAGATGGGATTTATTCCAAGTGAGGCAGTTGTTTCAGGTGTCGTAGATGGGTTGAGAAGAAATGGTGATGTTATTGGTGCTTATAATTTGATAAAAGATTTGGAGCATGTTGGAGCAGTGCCAAATTTATTTGTCTATAATGCGTTGATCAATTCGTTATGCACAGAGGGAAATGTGAAAGAAGCGGATTTGCTTTTTAGAAACATGGGTGCCAAAGGTTTAACCCCTAATGATATTACGTACTCGATCATCATTGATTCGTTCTGCAAAAGAGGCCAAGTTGAAGATGGATATGTTTTCCTTACAAAAATGAAAGATGCAGGAATAAAAGCATCTGTTTATCCATACAATTCTCTGATAAGTGGTTACTGCAAGTCAGGGAAACTAAGAACTGCGGAGTCGCTTTTTGAAGACATGATTTGTGAAGGCTTAAGGCCAACAGTTGTAACATATACGTCTTTGATAGATGGGTACTGCAAACACAGATATGTGCCCAAGGCATTGGGACTTTATTATGAGATGACAGAGAAAAAGATCTCTCCAAACACATATACCTTCACTGCACTGATTTCTGGTCTTTGTCTTGCAAACATGATGACAGAAGCAAGTGGTTTGTTTCATGAAATGGTAGAAAGAAATGTCATGCCTAATGAGATAACTTACAACGTTATGATTGAGGGCCATTGTCGAGAAGGCAACACAGTAAAAGCCTTTGAGTTGCTTGACGACATGGTGGAGAAGGGTCTCAAACCAGATACATATGCATTTAGATCTCTAATAAGTGGCCTTTGTTCAACAGATAGGGTATCCGAAGCTAAAGAATTTGTAAATAACCTCAACAAGAAGAATCGCAAGCTAAATGAGATGTGTTATAGTGCTCTCTTGCAAGGTTACTGCCAGGAGGGACGTCTGGATGACGCAATTGATGCTTGCTACGAGATGGTAGAGAAGGGAATCGATATGGACCTCGTTTGTTATTCTATACTTATTAACGGAAGCGTTAAACAAGGTGATGCCACTAGATTGATATACTTTTTGAAAGAAATGCATGATCAAGGAATGAAGCCTGATACTGTCTTATATACCAGCTTGATTGATGCTTTTGGAAAAGCAGGAGATCTTAAGAAGGCCATGGGTTATTGGGATATAATGATAGGTGAAGGATGCAACCCCAGTGTTGTGACATACACTGCTATAATCAATTGCTTATGTAAAGTAGGATATGTGGATAAGGCTGAGATTCTATGCAGGGAGATGCTTGATGATGGCATCATTGCGAATCATGTTACATATGGTTGCTTTCTTGACTGCCTTACTAATGAAGGGCATATGCAAAAAGCAGTACATCTTCACAATGCAATGCTTGAAGGGTCTATGGCAAACACCATAACATACAATATATTGATCCGAGGTTTCTGCAAACTGGGCAGATTTGAAGAAGCTACCAAGGCCTTGTTTGAGATGCATAATAATAGTATCTTACCTGATCATGTTAGTTACTCTACCATTATATATGAATACTGTAGAATCGGTGAACTACAGGAAGCAATAAAGTTATGGGACTCCATGATTGCTAGGGGTTTGAAGCCCGACATAGTGGCATATAATTTTATAATACATGGTTGTTGTGTTGCTGGAGAATTGACCAAGGCAATTAAGTTGCGTGATGACATGATAAGAAGAGGACTGAAGCCAAATCAAACTCTACAGCTTCTATGATCCATTCTGGGCCTCTGTTTTTGTGAAGCAATTGATGTAAGAGATTTTGTGCCACATAAAGTGTAATCTTTTTTGTAAATAGTCACCCTATGAAGCAATTACCATAACACTTGAAAACTTGTATGTGCAGCTCACTTCTCCACGTGACTCATGCTACCAACAAGAGCCGTTCATCATGCAGCCTGGGGTGCTCTGGGTTTTCTTTTCCCTGTAAGTAAATTTTCTGATGCTAAAGTTCAATTGTTGTAATTTGTAATCTTGAGACTGTGTAAGCTATTGATTTTTTGAGTTGGTTTGGGCTCTATTCTTTTTCACAGTAAATTATTAAAATGTTGTGGTAAGAGGTGTTACTTACAATAAGTTATCCAATCCCATTGTTGATTTCTCTTAAAAAGGATGTAGTATCCACTATCCAATAAAATAAATTTATAAAGGTATATGGATGGGAAAGGGTTGATGGATTAGTATAAAATATTTTATGACTATGTACTACCTAGTTTGAGAAGTTAGTCACTATCAGATGTTGTTGGTACTTGGTACCTAGGTAAATTTAGATAGATCTCCATCAAGTTCAGATCTTGATCCATCACCCTCCACTTCACGTGGGATTCACAAGGTTTGTTTGATATGGTTTGGTTTCAATCAAGTTCAGGAAAAATAATTTGATTTTCTGTGTGGATATTGGCATTTATTCTTTTTGGTGTATAATGGTTGCGATTTTTTACTACATTTGGTATTTGGTATTTGGTATAAACAATACTATAGAACACACCATCCTCTGGTGTGGTCTTTTTTCTGCTTTCTTAATTGTTTAAACTTTAAACCGGATGCATTCATTATTAAGTGGCTACTACTGTAAACTGTAACTGCCCTGGGCAGGAATAACCTAATAAATCTCACACCGAATGAACATATATTCCATAGTAGCATGATTGATGAATGCTTATGTTCAATAGCTATGAAGATGAGTGAGGAGTCTCAGTTGACTACATTATATCTTAACATTATAATTCATGACCATCAGTAGAGGCCAAAGAATGATTTTTTAACTGTAACACTTCAAATCCATTTCCCATTGCACACCTACTTAGGGTAGGTGGACTCTATTTATTTATGACTTAAGACAACGCGAGTAGTACATGTGTAAGGACCCTGAGGCATAATGAGATAAGCATTAGCAAACTGTGATCCGTTTGTGCTTCGTTGAAGTGGTGATGTTCCAGTATCAAGGTGATAGCCTAGGTGAGTCCCTTCTCTTAATTCACATGAGATGGTGTTTGCATAATATTCATAGAGAAATCCCTCCTCCCATAACTGGATACATACACATATGGAAAGTGAAGAAAAGTTGACGCTGCAATAATGCAACATTTGATATTTTCATCTGCTTCAAATAGCACTTCTGTCATTAATTAAATTTTCACCAAGATTTGGGTACTTAAATGTTCTTATTTCCTACAATGGACATGGAACAGATATAATTGTTGGCAGAGAAGATGCAGACTCTGATGCAAGGGTAAAAGCTATGGTTCCAATATGCTTCTATGACGTGCTTGCTGATCATTTTTATTTGGAACATCAGCAGGAGAACCCAATTTTCACTTTAATTGTTCAACTCTGGAGCCAGCCATTTGAGCTACCCCGTGTATGGGTATGTAACTTATGCACACTACATGTTTATGGAGTCCTTGTTGAGCTACCCCGTGTATGTTTTTTTGAGTCATAGTTGTTGATATACTGATTAAAACAGGGGATCATTGTACTCCCTCTGTTCTGATTGTTTAAAGCTTATTCTAACAGTTCATTGAGGAATTTAAAATTAGAAAAAAATGTTCTCTCTCGGATGCGTCTATTTGCCATAGTTGGCTTCATCGCTGTTGATGTTCCTAATTAACATAAGTCAGTTTGGCACTGCTGACATCTATTGGTAAACGAGGAGGAAAGTTCCCTTCACTAGGTTATGCCACTTACATAGTGCAATTATATTATGCATAAAAATTTATTGTCTGACCTCAAGGCTTCTTACAGTTGACAAGATCGGAAGCTTCTTACAAAACTTTCCAGTGTTCCCGTATGCTTTCTTAGTGGTGGGTTCTGTTCGTTATTGAACTGTCTGATCAGGTAAGGTCCAAGAAACCGACTGTTTTGTGAATTTTTTCTGCTTACTGAGGTGGAAAATTTGAACATGTTCTATCACATATTGCTGATTGGTCAGCTTCAAAAATTAAAAATGGAACCAGTGCTGTTACATCATCTCTCCCACATTAAAATTCTTCAAGGTAGTACTTTTTATTTGGTAATTACAGTTTTAAAGGTTTTGAAATGGTTGGTGTCTAGCTCATATAGACAGAGCTGATCAATGTAGCACGATTCACTCTAGGTTTGGAGCTGAGAATGATTACAAGTTCCAGACTTAAAAGTTGTTTGTACAGCTTCACTTCTACGGGTGGTCCAATGTATCCAACAAGAGCTGTTCATCATGCAGCCTGGGATGCTCTGGATTTTCTTTTCCTGTGAGTAATTTATATTCATTTACTGTATGAGAAATTGTTGAAAGTAGAAGCAGCCTATGCTATTACAGCGGTGAAAATGCAAAATTGCGGTCAGGACTGATATTTGAAATAGCGGTTATAAAGGTGGTATAGCGGTCCAAAAATAGTGGTTCATATAATATTTCTTATATATATATATGTATACATACATAAATATATCATATGCATTAATTGAAAATATAGTTTCAACATCAAAAACAACTTAAACAAGTTTCACAAAACAAAATGGGAAAAGTGTTCATAACAAACTAATCGCAAGCAATAGGTTCAGCATTCGAGTCAACATAGGTCTAAAGAGGCCCAAGCTAAAATATCAGAATATCAGTCCGTAATTTCACCTTAAATATCGCTCAAATATCGGTCAATTGCGCCGCTACAGAAACACAATTTTTACCGCAATTTTACATTAGTCCACAATCTGCTATTGAACCTGCAATAGCGCCGCAATTAACACATAGGAAGCAGCATGAGTTATTGATTCTGTTAGTTGGTTCAGGAGGTTCTCTTTTTACATAGATTTCTAAAAATTGCTGTTCCGAGGCGCAAGTGGCTTCTACCAAAAGCTGTAATCGTAGTACACATCGAATGGTTAGTTTCTTGTTACCTCTTGGTAGTCTATTGCTATAGAAGATAACAATGGAGTAATCTTTTATTTAGTTTGTATATCATTAGAAGACCAACAGGGGAGTTGGAATCTCTCTGCGAGCATGAACAGGAACAAAAAGTATCATATACATAGAATGGTTCAAATTCTCCGGTTAAGAGCCGAGCTTCTCAAAATTTGAAGTTTGTGTTCAGTACTGTTTGTTTTGGACATGAACACACATGTGGCCGGCCACCTTGAATAGTCTAGTGTTGGTCATGCCTAGTGGATCTCCGAAATTGGTTTTTGAAAGACATAAATTACACTAGAATAAGTTCATCTAAAATCGTTTAAAGAAAATAATGATTGTCTCAATCAAGGACTATGTAATGTTTCCGTAATCTGCTAGGCTGCTTTCAGGATATGTTTGGATTTCTGGAGTAGCAAGAATATGCTGGGGACGATGGAATAATATGCTATGCAGATTTTAGGATGAAAAAGCAGGAAGTAAATGGGCTCGGATAGTAGTGACCGAACCCTCTACTTGCCATGGCCCACATGGAATGGATACCATGTAATCTTTTTGACGTTGCGCACAAGTGAAATAAATGGTTTTAACTTGGTTGCCCACCCTATAAGCAACAAATATGCTCTTTAAAAGGTGTTAGTATCTCACCTTTTAGCACAAATATTCATGTAAGACGTTGAGATTATATAGAAGACCTGCTTGCAGGGAGACATTGAGCAGAAAGTTGTGAGTTGAAGTAGAACTTTTATGCTGCTCATAGTGTCGGTGGACACGACATGATTTTACAGATTATTATAGCATATAGGGATGAGGAGATGTTTGCTCAAAAGTAGGAATATTACCATCACAAAATGCGTATTTTGAAGTGGTAACGCACACACGCATGTTAGATAACTTTTTTGCTTCATTATATCTGATAGGACTTCTTTCCAAATGAACATTAAGTTTGATGTAAATTACAAAAGTTGTTCCTAGGCTACGTTTCATGTAAATTACACTCGATCTGAAATCTAAAAGATCTTAGAAAATGGTTCTTTTCCCATTAATAGTAACTAGATTTTTCTATTAATATCAAACACCAACAAGTTTTAGTTGTCATGTACTATTCTTCCCCAATGTACCGATAAAATCTCATGTTTTTTTGTGAATTGTAGATGGATTCTGATTACTTACGGGTTGGTTCAGGTGGGAAAATATCCTCGACACATCATCAGTCTGTTCTTCCTGTTGCTGTATCCATGGTACTGACCATCATCGTGTTGGAACTTTGTGTTGTCATGCATACAAGCAATACTGTTTTCGATCTTGAATCTCATGTTCATGTTCCGAAGCCGTAAGTTCAGAAACCCTCCTGATCAGTCTTAGCCATCACCACCAAATTACTCTTTCAGAGCTGTATTATTCACACAATTGTGCATGTCTTTTTTTTGTTCAATGTGGTAATCTTGATAAACAATGGTTAATGTGCATGTCTACACAATACTCATCTTTATATTACCCCACTCTTGCTGTCTTATATCGTATTGTAATTTTACTCGGTTTTTGTTCTGTCATGTACCAGTTTTTGGATGAAAAGTCTTCACCAAAATAGTTCGCTCTATATTTTTTTGGGTATGTTTATTCTAGGAGTCTTACTCTTGAGGGAGATATATTGGTTTTGATTGGTTTAATTTAGGGGCCATTTATCAAACGCTTTCCCGGGTAAGTGTTTATCAAGTCATGTTACTTTACCGGATGAATATGGTAAATACCAAGAATACATATTCATCCGGTAAGAGTGAGACAAGGACCAATTGTTGCATACAAAGTCGTTTTGGTGCATATAATGAACAAGAAAAGAATCGAGGGCCTGAGTCATAATCGTTCTATGAAGTTCGGATGATTGCATTAGCGCCACAATTGCAACATCTCACGATTTCTGAGCTGCTTAGTTGAGAGTGAATGAAGACTTGATGGTGGAACATATTTATGAAGGAAAACAAGTTTATTTATAGGCAACATGGATGTCAATGAGATTGCAGTAAATTACAGAAGTTACAAACTGAAAACAATACATTACAAGTTAGGAGCTGAAAGCGATAAATTACAAAAGTTACAAACTGAAAGCAATAAATTACATAAGTTCAAGCTAGGAACATTGACTGCAAGAATTAATCCAAAGACACTACATTCTATCATGCGGATAGAGTGCTTTAGTTCCTTGTATCCATCTCATGTATTTTTCAATGTCATCTTCATTGAACCTAATGTTTCTTTCAGTCTCCCCGACTGCAAGTTCAAATCTTGCATCATCATTCAATTTTTTTCTCTTTAATTTATTTTCTGGTATTAACAATCCAGTTTTGCTTATGCTTAATATGTTATTTTGCATCAGCAATCCATCTATTCCTCTCGTTCATCTCCTCTTATATCTTTTCTTTTTGCATTAAGCTCCGCACACTTTTGAAGTAGTATAAGATTTTGAGTTCCCATTCCTTGACATCCTGCTTCAAATAATCGAGTATTGTCAATGGGAGTTGACTTTTCACCCATTCATCTCTCAGCCTCTCCCACTCCTCGTCCTTTGTTGGAAGTTTAAAACTAGAACTGTAACAGCTTTCGTCCATTGTTATAGAGAAAATAAGGAAGAATATCAAGTAATAAATCTTTCAACCTCTTTCATTAAATAGAGAAAGATAGAGAATAATACTATAGTATGATTGGTCCTTGAAACTATAGTAATTTACACATTGCTCTTTATACTTATGACACAATTTGACAACACTATGACAACTCTAGGGGTAGGTGGCTGAGGTTAGGCTTTTCAGACGAATTTTGTAGGCTTTTCAGACAAATGACAAATCTATGACAACTCTAGGGGTAGGTGGGCGATTTCTGACCATAGGAGGCGAAGTCAGGCTTTCCAGACGAATCTTGTAAGCTTTTAAGATGAATCTTGTAAGACACAGTTTAACAAGTCTAGGACAACATTTTGTCAATTTTGACTACACTATGACAATTCTAGGGGTAGGTGGCGGTTTCTGACTATTTGGGTGATTTTTTTTACCATAAGGGTTGAGGTCAGACATCTAGATGAATATTGTAAGTTTTTAAGACGAATCTTGTGAGACATGATTTAACAAGTCTATGACAACTTCATGTCATTTGACTACACCATAACAACTCTAGAGGTAGGTGGACGATTTTTTTTACCATGGGAACGAGGTCATGCTTTCCAGATGAATCTTATAAGTTTTTAAGACGAATCTTGTGAGACACGATTTAACAAGTCTATAACAACTTTATGTCAATATTTGACTACACTATAACAACTTCTTACCATAGAGTGATTTTTTTTTTACCATGTGTATGTGTATAAATAAGATGCCTCATGAAACCAAAAATTACAACTTTATACCAACCATATTCAGTCTTCTACAACTACTTGTCTACTTCCTGCAAGAAATGGCTGAAAACCCATCATCATCAAATCCTTTGTCTTCTCAAATCATGCCTACCATGATGAAACTATCAATAGAAAAAACTGAAGCTTAGATCAAAGAGACTGCTAATCGGTTACCAAATAAGAGAAATGATAAGGATGGAGAGTTCTACACGGTGAGGGTAACGACTCTTACCCGATAATTGTTTACCGAATAAAGTTTTGCATACGATACAATTTTGATGGACTACAATCTTACCCGGTAAACTAAATTAGAATGATGAATTTTACCGGTAAGCACTTGGGTAAACTATCCCCTTAGAATTATGTAAATGCAGAAAAAAAGGGACATTGTGCTGAATCTGATAGTACAAACAAGATTGATCAAAAGTGAAGGCAAATCGATTCCCATCTAAAATTAACACCTTTGACTCACAATTGAATGACTGTAAAGTAATTCACACATATCTTATAAGACAAACACTTTTTTTGTGCTTATTAATGTAGTATACATATGTATGTATTCATAATGATGTCCATAATAAAAAAACACAATACAAACACCCATCATCCACTTTGACCGCCGTCTCCACCATCGTTCATCGTTGTTGACCCCGTTTATCGCCGTTGACTATTGTTTACCGTTTACCCTGTTAACTGTCATTGCCCATCATTTAACTGTTTTTCATCATGGTAAGCTTTCTTATATTAAACAAATAAAATATTTTCATTCACACGATAATTTAAATTTATATGTTATTTTTGTAACTCCTATATGTTATATATATGCTAGGGAGATTAGTACAACGTAACTATGACAATAAAATCAAAATTGCAAATATTATTTGAGGAATTGCGGGTATCGAAAAACAGAATACAAATGTTTAAAAATACCTGTTTCGATCATTGGCTCGATATCCGGTCAACATATGGAGATCCAATGCTTGTGCATCTGATGTTACCAATACATGTATTTCCTGAGGAAGACTCGCAAAATGCCATGTCATGTTGGAGAATACAACTTGCGTTTTGGGCGATAAGAATTCTGCTTCATTACCGATATACGATTTGGCAGAAACCAACTTTATCGGAGCCATTACACGTCCTGCACCAGAAGGGTTTTAGGCATTGTTTAAGATCATCTGGGACGGAGGAATGATTTTACTTTGAGCCTTCACTAGCTCTAAATTTTAAAAATACCAGACATAGATGCAATACATATATGTATCTTGCTCCCGGTAGATGTTGGATTTAGCTCTAAATTTCCACATGCTTCGTTTTCTTACCGCTTACGGACCAGTAATGTGATTCCCAGACATGCGTATGACAACATAAAGGGCGTTGTTGTGGCCTGATTGTATAAGTAAATACACGTTGATGAGATCGAGGATGTGAGTTTGACTAATTTATCTTTAGTAATTTACCTTATTAACGATAACTAAATACTGAAACAAAAAATAGATGTAGGACTTGCATCCACATACTAGGTTCACACCTACGGATGCGGAGTTGGAGTCTTCTTGATAGAGGGACAGTTGTTATTTTGAGGGGGTTGCACACAAACTGCACGGTGCATCGACTTGTCATCGTCACGATTGTCCGTTGATATGACCGGTTATATTGAACAAATGAATCGCCATATTGAGGAAGTAAATGAACTTGTTAACAATGGTTCCACAGATATGTTAAGGGTTGTTTGTTTATCTCTGAATAGTTCCATTAAGAGGCAACATCTGAATCGTTAAGAGGTAAATCTTGTTTGGCAAAAAAAAGTCTGTCTCTTAATGATTATAAAACCCTCTGAATGATTTTGTATCCTGGATCTCCCTTTACCATTCAGCAATTGCCAAACTAACCCCTTAAGTCACTGAAATGCACATTAAAAAGACGTCCTGAATCAAATTAAAATAGAAGTTGATGCCATGAAGGTAGATATTTGAAGTCTTTATTTGTCATTATTAGGTTGTGTTCAAATAATTTGTTATTAGAACTTATATATTCATCGTCATGGTGATCAACCCGTAAATGCTCAAGTGTTTCAACAACAAAATGATCCGGTTGAGTCAACACCTTCAACCCCCGGATGTGACCATTTTGGTCATAATTTTGACGACCAAAACGACGGGGACGCCCTAAATTTTGATGATGGTTATCATCCGAATTTTAATGTCGAACCAAATTATGATGATAACGTTACATCGAACATGCTACCAGAGTAGACCCCACCTATACCTGAACCAAAAAAGTGTGTAAAGTACAAAATGATATAAGAACAGCAGGTGGAGTGGAGTAATATAAAGATGAGTGTAGACATGCACATTAATCCTTGTGTATGAATATTACAAGAAGACAACATTGGCTCATGAGAATGAAAAAGGCATGCACAATTATGTGAATAATACAGCTCTGAAAGAGTAATTTGGTGGTGATGGCTAAGACTGATCAGGGGGGTTTCTAAACTTACGGCTCGGGAACATGAGCTTCAAGATCGACAACATTATTGCTTGTATGCATGACAATACAAAGTTCCAACACGACGATGGCCAGTACCATGGATACAGCAACCGGAAGAACAGACTGATGATGTGTCGAGGATATCTCCCCACCTGAACCAAGCCGTAAGTAATCAGAATCCATCTAAAATTCATGAAAAAAATATGAGATTTTATTGGTACATGGGACAAAACAGTACATGACAGAACTAAAACTTGTTGTCTCATGTTTGACGTGACATTAGACTGGACAGCAAGAGACATGAGTTGGATAAATATGCATATTTTTTCTGTCCCACCTATTTAATCTGGGAGATCGGACAAGATTGGTAAATCACTAAACTGCCCATCACAAATTAAAACCCTAAAACCTTCCAGAATCCTTTCACACGTGTATCTCACTCTCACCCATCTAGTCCTCTCCTGTCCGCATACCAAATACATCTTAGAGCAGGAGAACAAACTGGATTAGGACAGGCTCTATGAGGACTCACCTTGAGGCTTAGGATCAAGAGTGCTAGGGCAAAGAAACATTGGCACAAAAGGCCGTCTTCAAGTTGAAATTCCATGATTATCTTAACCGTAATTAGATTACCTTTCATTTAACCCCTTGAAGCCAGTATCCAAGGGTAATTTATTTGCTTGCATGGTCGATATTCAACACTAAAAAAAAACCAAACCAAAGGAGTCTGATATATTCCACCTGGAGGAAAGGTCCGGGGAGGATGGGATGTAGATTTGACATCTATCCGAAAAAGTAGAGCAATTATTCCATGAAAACCCTCGGCTTGGTATTTACACTAAACACATATAGATAGTTGTTACTTGTTGGCACAAATATTGCTCTTACCATAGCTTGCTTTAGAGGAATTTGGTTAAAACATTCATATCATGTCATCTTGGTGAAAACATTTGTGAATCTAATTGGTTGGCTCTACGATTTTGGCAGGATTACATACACTACGACCAACAAATGGTGTTGACTGAGATGCTGACTCGGTAAGAAAGGAAAGGCTTACTCGGTCAATGCTTACCCAGACCAAACCTATTACTCAATTTATGTTGGTAAAAGGCCCTTAGTCTTTAATGCCATATAAAGTAACAAACTCTATTTTAAAAACACCCGCATACGTGTTATATGTGCTTCTTGATATCTGGTTACTGGCAAAGCTACATTAGAAAACATCCAATGTCACGGCAAAACAGAGATGCGCAGGCCAAAAAAATAAATTGAAAGAGGGGTTAATGGGGGAATCTTTTACTAATAATTCAAACTCCTAAAATAATCTGGATTGAAATATTTAAAAAAAAGAAAAGGTAACATTTTCTAGGAGAACTCTAAATAGCAAATGTTCATACTTTTGTTAAAAGTTATGTATTAAGTCAAGAATTGCAATTTTCTTCAGATGGGTCATTAGCATTATTATCAGTAAGTTGACAATATTGATACGGTTCCACAAGATCATTCTTTATTGAATGATGTTTTAGATCTCAATAAGTATTAGTCATTATGTTATCAAACTTCTCGAAAGAAAGATACTTCAAGAGATTAATTTGATATTAATAGAATAATCTAGTTATTATTAATGGGAAAGGAACAATGTTCTTAAGATTTTTTAGATTTCAGATCGAGTGTAAAGGACTAAAATTGCAAGCTGAGAATTAGTCTAGGAACAGGTTTTGTAATTTACATCAAACTAAAGGTTCATTTAGAAAACGAGTCCTGTATAATGAAGCAAAGTCGGAAATTGATCGTACACCCCCAATGTAGGACACACACGTTAGCCAATTAACCTGACAGGGGGGGGGGGTGTGTGCTAAATACACATTTTATGGTAGTCATTTCATATCTACCCTATATGTTATAATCATCCGTAAAATCATGTAATGTCCACTGACACTATGGGGAGCAGAACAGTTCTACTTGTGGTGACAAGTTACTGCTCAATGTCTCCCTACAAGCAGGTCTTCTACATAATCTGAACTTCTTCATCTTTTTACATGGATATCTGTATTAAAAGGTGAGGTTTTGAACCAACCTAGGGAGTCTACTAACACCTTTCAGGGAGCACATATGTTGCTTTGGGGGTGATTCAAACAAGTTAAAACCATTAGCTGCACAACTTGTACGCATCGGTTGAAAAGATTGCATGGTATTCATTCCATGTGGGCCAGGGGATGGAAAGTAGAGGGTTCGGTCACTGCTATCCTAGCCCAGTAACTTCTTGCTTGTTCATACTAAAATCTGCTTGGGATATTATTCCATCTTATACCCCAACCTATTCTTGTATCCATAAATCCTAACATATCCTAAAAACTGCCCAGCAGATTCCAGAAACATTATATAGTCCTTGATCGAGACATTCATTATTTTCTTTAAATGGTTTTAGACAAACTTATTCTAGTGAAATTTATATTCTTCCAAAAACCAATTTTGGAGATCCACTGATAATCTAGGAATGACCAACACTAGACTATTCAAGGTGGCCACATGTGTGTTCACGTTCGAGGCAAAAATTCCAAAACAAACGAGGTATTGAACACAAACTTCAAAAATAAAGAAGCTCGGCTCTTAATGAAAGAATTTGAACCATTCTATCTATATGATACTGTTTGTTCCGGTTCATGCTCACAAAGAGAGATTCCAATTCCCCTGTTGGTTAGCTAATGATATACAAACTAAAGAATTGTTATCTTCTCTAGCCATAGACTATCAAGAGGTACCAAGAAACTAGTCATTCAACATTGTACTACTATTACAGCATGAGAGATTTTGGTAGAAGCCACTTGCACCTAGGAATTTTTCCACATCATTTTTTAGAAAGCTATGTAAAAAAGAGAACAACATGAACCAACAAAGAGAATCGATAATTCATGCTGCTTCTACTTTCAACAATTTCTTATACAGTAAATGAACATAAATTACTCACAGGGAAAAGAAAATCCAGAGCATCCCAGGCTGCATGACGAACAGCTCTTGTTGGATACATTGGACCACCAGGAGAAGTGAAGCTGTACAAGCAACTTTTAAGTCTGGTACTTGTAGTCATTCTCAGCTCCAAACCTAAAGTGAATCATATATGAACTAGACACCAACCATTTCAAAACATTTAAAACTCTAATCACCAAATAAAGAGTACTACCTCGGAGAATCTTAATGTGGGAGAGATAATGTAACAGCACTGGTTCCACTTTCAATTTTTGAAGCTGACCAATAAGCAAATACGTGATAGAAGATGTTCAATTTTCCACCCAGGACAGTAAGCAGAATGAATTCATGAAATAGTCAATTTCTTGGATCTTACCTGATCAGATAGTTCAATAACGAATATATCTGCAGAACCCCCTACTAAGAAAGCATTCGGGAACTCTGGAAAGTGTTGTAAGAAGCTTTCGATCTTGTCAACTGTAAGAAGCCTTTTGAGGTCAAACAATAAATTTTTATGTATAATATAATTTCACTAGGTAAGTGGCATAACCTAGTGAAGGGAACTTTCCTCCTCGTTATTCAGTACCTAGATTATAAAGAAAGATGAATCTAGAAAGGAGAAGAAAGAGATCTCGTTGTGCCTGAAAGAAACAAGAATAAAATTAACTTTCTCAATATAAATGAAATTCTTAATTGTGAGATACTCAGTCGGTTTCATTTGTACTAAGATAAGTATGTGGTCCATTCTTACCTGCAAAGGGATTTTCTTCAACTTCTCGGGCATCAATGCAATGTCCACAAGAAGATACTACAGCCAATTAAAAAAGTGAGTAACCTAAGAGGTCTGATTAAGCCATGCAATATAATTATAGCATATATTACAAGCCTTCACACCGAAAAAAGACTCTGGAAGTGTGTCGTGTTTGTCTGGATATCAATCCTACAAATAAGAACATAAATTTATCAGAATTAAACAAACTTTGTGTTGTCTATATTTTTTTCTGGATAGGAGTCTACTGTATTTAGAGCATAAATCATGACAAAAGCAGAGCTGGGGCATGGTGAATAATGTAGCAAATGAAGGCAAGTAGACATTAAAGAAAGGCAAAATGCAAAAAGATTTGCATTAGATCCTATTTAGTCTAACAAATAATGTTTTAAATTTCTCAATCAATATAGCAAAGTTCCAAATTTTCTTAATTAATGTCATAAAGTTTCAAATTTTCCTATTTTTCACTCATTTTGACCGGTAACTTTGATCTTGTAACATTTGGTGATGTGGATATCAAAGTTTATTGTCCACTTAGCCGTAACCCTTCTGTAAATAGCTATCTTTGTCATCAAATGTTAAAAGATTAGAAAGTTATCGGTCAAAAATGGGTAAAATCTTTGTTGCATAGATTTAGAAAAGAATTGTTCATTACACTAAATAGAAACTAAACCAAACTTTGTTGCCTTTTGATGCATTTTGCTCTAGAAAAACACTCAAAAGACGATAAAGACATTACCAAGACCAAGTTTTTACCCCCCAAATTAGTTGAGTTAGGTTAAAAAATAAACCATCACGTGAAAAAACATGATGTGATATTGGGTCCTGTTTACCCGATGAGAAGAGAAATGAAGATGGGACCCCTCAAAATGGAGAATGTAGAAAAACTGCATAATACTAGAACCTTAAGTCTTATTTTAACATTTATTTACTACAGTTATAATGCCATTTTTGGCATTATTCTGATACCACAATTCGGGCAATTTCGGATAGTTTCCAAGTAGAACTGCTGAAACTACGTGAAACCCTGACAAGGGTTTATGTACAAGGAGGGCAAACCCTTATGGGTTGATAGGCAAAAAATAAATTTTCGTTGTTTGTGGATCACTCGAATAAATGTAAACAAAGCGTATTTTAACAATTTTTTTCAAGTATGTACAGGATATCAACTGAATCAAATGAAAGTGATGAGTTAACGTAAAAATCCGATGGAATTTAGGTTAAGGACGAAGGAAGTGGAAAAAGGGGGGACAAAGTAGAAATTCATGCTGAAATAAGAATCACAACAGTAAGTTGCTCTATGAACCCTGTGGCTTGAGGTCGCACGCTTCCCCAACGCGTATTCGTAGGTGAAGCCGAGCAACCCCCTGTTTTGTCTTTTATTGTTTTATCGACCAGGGTAAAAAAAACATACCAGGCGATAAGAGCTGCCATTTGGCCATTTTTAGGAGAAGGAAAAAAACTTTTGGAGCCACGAAGAGCTAGGAATCACACCAGGATTGAAGATTGAAGATTGAAGACAATTTTCATTACTTGTGCATGGGGAATCATAACAAGAGGGAGTTTTCACATTCTTTTAGATTTCTTGCTCAGAAACAATGTCTAGATCTTTAGATTATTCTCCTTTGTTCTGTTTCATACCACCCCCAACATGAACTAATCTTTGGATGTTCAGAGTTGGATGATTTTTGGTTATTAAACATATGAACACATAAAGTTTGGAATTTTTTATTAGGGTTTTCAATTAATGAAGCATGAGTTATTTTTAATGTTGTTGTTAGCCTGATCAACTACCCATTGAACCCACTGATTTATTGATCTTAATTTGTCTTTGAGAAGTGATTTAAGAATAGATTTGTGATTTATATGCCTAGGGTGAGAACTTGGATAGAGATATATACCAATCAAACCCTAGTATTGTCTTAACAATCTTGGTCTAAATAAATCTCTGAATTCATGTGTTGAGATCGAGAGATGAAACATGCTTTTCAAAGATAAACCTGTTATAACTTGAGAGAGAGAGAGAGTAACTGGTAAAATGTGTTCAATTGACTGATTTGATAATTATTCAACTTGATGTGTTCTATATGAAAGTGATTAGGATTCCAACCCAACTACTTCTCTCCTGATAAAGAGTTCCAGTTTTTATTTTCTGAAATTACTTAAAATTCCCAATAGCTAATTAGATCATTAATTACTTAATTCATCATCATTGACCATCTAATTAATAGTAAGTGTAGTCATTGTGATACTCAGTCTCTAGTTCCTTTGGTTTGATACCGGTACTTACTGTACATATTACTTGATTCGACATCATACACTTGCAGTCAGATTAGGGGGTGTAAACCGGACTATCACATGGGGAATGGTATTGGCAGAAATGTGGAACCACAATTTCCAAAAAGTTTGAAGGAGGGGCATGTGTCCACGCCTCCAAAGATACAACTACTTTAGAACTTATCCTCACTCAGTCTTGCAGTTTGAACTCGAAGCTCTTGGGAGCAATTTTCACGTACTCTCAAGTTAAGAAAATATCGAATTTGGACATGGAGGAACGATACCAAGCTCATTATCAAGTTAAGAAAATATGTGATTCTCAGCAAGCTGCGACGAGTAAGCCTAATTAGAAATTGTGATTGCAAATCCCATACCAGAATACGTTTGTAGCACCTTGCACAAGAGCTGATGAGTAACGAAGGAGGACATCTGAACTATCAAGTTGAACTTCAAATAACTGCAAGATAGATGTAAAACAGTAAGCTAAACCATTCAAATGAAAGAATATGAATCTGACTCTTGCTGTATGTCAGATAGCAGAAAAATTCTTGATAACTATGTTTACATTAATGAAACAAATCAATAAATGATTAATAAAAGAAAACAAAATATAATTGACTTTATTTTCAATTGACTATAAAAAGGGATTTTGATAATCTCAGATATAGTAGGCGGAAGTCACATTTTTTTAATTTATCGTCACAAAAATATGTATTTTTATTATCACAACTTAAGTTATTTACTTCAATAAATTAATATCAGGCTATCAAAGTCAGCATACAAAATTAGGGTTTAGGAACATCAACAGTGATGAAGGCAACTATAGCTAATAGATGCATCCAAGAAAAATCATTTTTTCTAATTTTAAATTCTGAATAAACTGTTAAAATAAGCTTTAAACAATCAAGACAGAGGGAGTACAATGATCCCTGCCCCGGTTTTACAGAGTATATTAACCAACATGACTAAAGAAACCATACACGGGGTAGCTCAACAAGGACTCCATAAACATGTAGTGTGCATAAGTTACATACCCATTTATGGAACAGAAGGGCAAAAATATGAGAGGCAAATGGCTGGCTCCAGAGTTGAACAATTAAAGCGAGAATTGGGTTGTCATGCTGATGTTCCAAGTAAAAATGATCAGCAAGCACATCATAGAAGCATATTGGAACCTTAACTTCTACCCTTGCGTCAGAGTTTGCATCTTCTCTGCCAAGAATTATATCTGTTCCATGTCCATTGCAGGAAAATAAGAATGTTTAAGTACCCAATTCTTGGTGAAAAATTTAATTAATGACAGAAAACGCTATTTGAAGCAGATGAAAATTTCAAATGTTGCAATTTCACAGCTTCAACTTTTCTTCACTTTTGTATTTGTATGTATCCAGTTATGGGAGGGCAGTTTATCAATGAATATTATGCAAACACCATATCCTGTTTAATTAAGGGAATGGACTCACCTAGGCTATCACCTTGATATTGGTACACCACCACTTCAACTAAGCACAAACGTATCACAGTTCTTAATGCTTATCTCATTACGCCTCACAGCACTTCAAGTTCCTTAAATATGTACTAATCGCATTGTCTTTAGATAAACAGAGTCGACCTACCATAAGTAGGTGTGCAATGGATATGGATTTGAAGTGTTATAGTTAAAAAATCATTCTTTGGCCTCTACTGGATGGTCAGGAATCAAAATGTTAAGATACGTAGTCAACTGAAATTCCCTACTCATCATCATAGGTATCTAACATAAGCATTTAGCAATCATGCTAACTATGGAATATATGTGCATTAGTTGCGAGGTTTACTAGGTTATTCCTGCCCAAGGCAGTTACAGTTTACAATAATAGCCATAATATATGAATGCATCTAGTTTAAACAATCAAAGAAGAAGGAAAAGGACCACAAAGTATGATGGTGAGTTCTACATTACTATTATATAACAAATATCAAATGTCTTAATAAATCCCAACCATTATACACTGAAAAGTATTCATGCCAATATCCATCAGGGAATTTTTTTCCTGAACTTGATTGAAACCAAACAAACCCAGTGAATCCTACATGAAGTGGAGTGCAATCAATCAATATCTGAACTCAATTGAGATCTATCTAAATTTATCACAGTATCAACAAGATCTGATAGTGACTAACTTCTCAAGCTGATGGATGGTAGCACATAGTCATAAAATATTTTATACTAAATCCATCAACCCTTTCCCACCCATATACCTTTATAACTTTATTTAATTGGGTACCACATCCTTTTTAAGAGAAATCAGCGATGGGCTTGGATAACAAACAACAAGATATACAATGACAGATTTGAGTAAATAACACTCATTTGGTGAACAATAGGAAAAAGTTACTCATTTTGTAAAAAAAAAACTAATAGGAAAGAGTAACTCAATTTTTAGGACGTAAGACAAAGTATGTCTTGATATTATAAGTCTGAATGGCATAATATGAATGTAGTAATGAAATTTATGTGGTACTTCAAGGCTGGAACTCAAAACTTGCCATCTCATGTTAAATCAACAAACTATTCAATACAACAGAAAATTTCGCACTGCAGGATTGTGTACTAAAGTTTCATGTTACTCTGTGCCACTTATAAATTTTTATGTGAACTAAGATCTATCACAGGAAACAACTTTTAGAAAATTATTTTAGATAGCTATTTAATAGAACAGAACATTCTGCACTGACGGGTTGTCTGCTGAAGTATCAATTTATTCTGTGCCATATAATAACTCTTATGTGAAATAAGTTCCATCACGCAATACAACTTTAACTTCCATTTTAGGTGATAGGTAGTAAGTACATCCCCCTCTTTCAAAAACAATATTAGTAATTTTAACCGAGAATTTTCGGTTAGCAAATGATTGGTATATGTTTATTCCTCTTAATTTCAAGTATGGAGGAAGTTAACAAATGTCATTCACCATTTCGGCCGATCGAAGATGATAACCACAAGTCATCAAACAAAGTAAATATAGAATTCAAAGGCAATCAAGTAAATAAGGCTGTTAAAGCTGTCAAATATACGGTTTAGAAGCTGAAAAAATATATTTTAAAACTGCTGTAAGTGGAAAACCACATTCACATAATTTGTATTTGCCATGTAATTGGTATGGATATGCTCCAATATGCCAATAATAAGACTCACAAGCATAGTGTGTATTTCCAATAAAAATAAATCTTGCACTCCATGTAAGGTCATTGGTTACTCCATAGCACGACTAATCACCATGTCATCATGTCATTCTTAAACGAGTAATACATCAATTATATACTTCACTCTGCACATCCTAATTCCCAAAAAACAAAAAAAGATCACCACGTGTCATTTAAAGCGTCTCCCTTAAGTCCTTTTCTTGACACGCAGATCCGATGGCATAGAAGAAATTACGTGGAGTTCAGTGGTCTAATGGAATTGATATGCTTAGAAGCTTAATTGAAATTATACATATCACATTGTTCTATCTCCTCATCCTTAACACCATCACAACTTCAGTGGTACCTAGTGACATCATAAAAAACCAGTACCAGCAAAGATTCTGTTTTAGTTCATCAAATGTTTCTTTTTGTATAATGTTGGATGGAGACAATGAGATTCCGATTTTGCAACCATATATTTGACTGTTTATCCATTTTCACATACTCATCAGGCTAGAAGTCAAATTGACCTATCAGCAAGCAACTTCTCCCATTCCAAAATAAATGCTACATATTTAATGCCAACCTTATTCTATAACTTGTTATAAATTATAATCGCTTTAACAATCTTTTCTCCAAATTTAAAATCTTGATCAATTTCAATGTTGAGAAATTAATCGTTTGGCATCAAAATCAAAGTCTTTATTCCCGTTAGAGGGGTAGTAATTAAGCAAAATCAAAAGGTCTGAGTTACCTCTAGCTCGATCATCAACCTCTAAAGCTATGTCTGCAAACAACGCTTGTAATAAATCACGTCTCTGAGTTGGTGAAGCTATTGCCTAGAAATTAAAAAGAAAAAAGTTAAATGCACAAATTCAAAATAAACCGATCAACCAAAGTCTATCAATGTAGAGAGATGATCAATAACAATTCAAATTAAAACGGTAATCAATATAAACAAAAGAAGTCCACAAACCCTTCGAAGCTTTTTATCGATCTCTTGGGTGAGAGCAGAGAAATAAGCAGAGCTTTTCGGAGTTACAACAAATGGCGACATTTTTCTTATCTGTTTCTCGAAAAGCAGTGCATTTGATTTGAAAACTGACAATCAAATCCAAAAAAAAAAAAAAATCATCAATATATTAGCCCTAGATTCACATAGCGGTTGACTAATTATAGCATTTAACCTTTTCCCCTACAAAAATTAATCAGATGCCTGACCTAAATCCAATATCCGGCAAATGATCTGGTTCTATCGCCGACACTCACGGTCGTAAGGGGTGGCGATGGTGGTGGTCGTGGGGTGGCAGACACCGTGAACGACGCGGATAGAAGCTTTGGGAAATTGCTACAATAATAATGGAGAATCTGGTATTACCGAACTATCATTTTGATCGGTGTAAAAATATATATTTTATTTTAAATTCAAGCATTTATTTTTCTTCGATTCTTTTTTGAGTAAACTACAATTTTAGTCCCTAAGGTTTACATGACATTATGAATTTTCCCTAAACTTTAATAAATACAACTATGGCCATTATAGTTTGAGTTTTGTTTTGAAAATGATCCCTAACATGAATATTATTAAAAATATCAGTTAAAGAAATGGCATTTCGGTCTTTTTAAGAATTAATAAAACATGTCATATTATTTCTAATTAAAAACTATAAGTATATTATTATATAATGAGAAGTCCTCTAGCTAAAATCCAGCGTCTTTTGTCTTGCAGACCCATCTCTGCCTCCTCCGTCATCACCCAACACCTTCCATCTCAGGCAACCCCCAAGACCCTCCATCTACGACTATTCGTCTTTCTTCAGTCGTTCAACGAAGAGAAACAATGGAAGATTTGTCTTCGGTGAATCCCTCCCCCACCACTATCTCCATCCTTCGTCCTCTTCATAGCCATCTCAACGTGGACCTATCAATATTTCATGAAAAAAACTGATAAAAAAAACAACGGTCAGTTATTAAATCTCAAGGGTAGTTCTCTCCACCACAAATCTCCTCCACATCATGCTTTAGTCAATTTTTTGTCTTTAGCGACCCCCTTCTTACCCTTATCTTGACACTGCTCCTATAGAAGTCTTTTATCAGCAGTCAAGTAGTCTAAGGTGGCTCTTGAATGAAAACCCTTTTCTGGTTCATCTCCAAATTTCAAATCTAACCATGTGTGATTCGAGGTAAAGTAAAAAGATTTTCAAGAACAATTGGTGAAAATTTTGTTGGTGATTTTAGTGTCGTTAATCATTTTAGTATGATTGTGATTTACGTCAAACATAAGTGAGTTAGGAGGTGCATAGTGCACACTCACAAATGTTGCATCTATCACCTTAGATCGTTAAGGCAATGGTTAAGGAGGCTATGCCCCCTTGCAGGGTCCAAGAGGGCAAAAGCCCTTGGCGTTGGTCCCAATGATCGTTCTACGGGTTTTAAGAGAGATTTAATTAGGATTTTTTTAAGTTTTGGGATGTTTTGTATGAACTTCAAAAGATTGAAACATTCTTGAAATCATATTGAAACTTGGTGGTAATTGGCGTAAGCATAGTTCAGAGGCGTATGGACTCAGAGCCTCTGAGTCTTCGCTCGAATTCTCTAAGTGTCAAGAGTCAGAGTCTCTGGTCCTTATGATCAGAGTCGCTAGACTTCTAACCTCTAGACGTCCGGAGCCTCTGGAATTTTTCTAACTTTGCTTCTGACTCAAAGCCAGTTGTAACTGTTTTTCTAAACTTATTCATTAACGGTCATAACTGTTGTGCAATTATGTCTTTTAGTTTAATCGCTCATAGCTGTCGATCTCTCATATAAATATGTGAGGTTTCGACCTTACAACCTTTAAGGTTAGAGTGTTCATTTGAATTATCCCAATACGAAATTCGTGATACCCAAGACAATAAGGTACAAATTATTGTATTTGGAAAATGATATTTCCATGACCCAAGTGATTATACAGTCTACACATCATCTCCAATCCCCAATTCCTAACAATTTTCATCATCGGAGTCACGTAGTGAGTGAGAATGGTAATTTGAGGTTATGTGGGAAAGACGATGAATAAATTAATGTGTTTTGGCTTTTGAGATTTAGTTTGAAGGGTGCGAAGATAACTGTTGTTTTGTGGGTTTATTGGATTGACATCGCTTTGTTGTGGTCATTCTAATATAACAATTAATGGCAGATCCAAATTTTTTATCAAGCAGTGCACATTTAAAGTGGATTAACGACCCATAAAATCGACCAATGTGTTTTTAGCCGAATTCTATTGTTTCAAGGAATTTTTTGAGTTTTTTGGTTGATTTTGAGAGACTTTCTCGATTTTTTGGTTGATTTCGAGGGCTTTTTCGTTTTTTGGTTACTGTTCCTTATATTTTTTAATATCCCAGAGCACTACTTAAAGTTCAGAGGATACATCTTTCATACCTAAAATATTACTTGAGAAATTTCAGTTGAGCGGGTGCACAGGATCCTACTCGGACATGACTAGGTTTGCCCCTGATAACAATTAGTGTTCAGAGTATTTATTGTGAATTGATCATTTTAAGTTTGATTTATGTTGGAGAAATTTGGGTTTCAAGTTGCTGGAGATGGTGACCAGAGTAAAAGTGTGAAGTTGGTCTTGTTGATAGTGATCGAAGTTCAAGAACGATTTTGCGTGCGTGTGTGTAAATGAATCGAACTTTTAATAGGCTACTTGAGGCCGAGCTTAATAATTATCGAGCTCGAGTTGATCTCGAACACAAAATAAAGTCCACTTAACTTAACAAGTCGAGCTTCATAACACTAGTGTTCGACTCGACTCGTTCGAAAGCTCGATTAAACTTTACGAGTCAAGTCGACCGAGCCAAGTTATTCGAGCCAAACACACACACACACATGTTTACTAATTATATAATCAAAATATAAAAAACATCGAGCTTGAGTAAATAAACAAGTTAATCGATCTCAAATTCGAGCTCGAGCTCAAACATTGAAAAAATATTCGAGCTCATAAACGAGCATCAAGCTCAAGCTCAAACATTGAAAAAAATATTCGAGCTCGAGCCTAATATTATTTTTTTGAACCGAGCTCGAATAACCTGCTACTCCGACTCTACTCGGCTCGTTGACACCCCTATATAAAAATAATAATTTAGAACCAGTAATATATATATATATATATATAATTAAAATTAGAAAAAATATAAAAAGACAAAAATAACCCCCACTTGACAGAAAAGATGATATAGGCATTGAGCTTGTTATATGGGTACATCACAAGAAGAAAATGTTCAATTTTAACATTTCACATGTTATTCCTGTTATACCGAAACGCATATATGTGAAGCATCTCTTGAAATATAAGTCCACATAATTATCATGAACACTGTTTAAGCACGTGAGACAATTAATAACACAAAATCTTTCTAGATATTTTTTAAAGTTCCGTGACACCTAATGTTGTTTTCATGTCTTAGATTCACTAATAATTCAAAACCTAAAACTCGTGTTTAAAATCTCTTGTTTTGCATTTTCATGCCTTAGATTCATACAGAATCGAAACTCAAAACTCGTGTTTAAAATCTATCATGCACGAGTTACATGGGGAGATAACCAAGAGTAGGTCACAATGAGACGCAACATAACGAATGGGAATATTTAATAGTTACATATCAGAATGAAATGTCTTGAGTGAGAACTGATTTTTGGATCTGTGTGGAAGGAAGTTATTCATGTACAAAAGATCTTAATGACCGATCTATTTAAATTGGTTTTTAATCAAACTTCACAACTCGTCCCAACAAGTTGTACAGTATCTCATTTCCACCAGTGTTGTAAAACTGAATAGATATTTTGACTGAAGTTGAAAAATATATAAAATAAGGTGTGTGTGTCCTACTTTATTATTTACCTGTAAAAACAAGACTGAGAATTAAAATATTTTATTATTCATAACTAATTCCGAACTAAATCATCTTATTCTATTAAATGATAAAATGACCTTATAACACACATAAAAAAAAAATTAATACATATGTATTTAAGCATTGAAAGTAAGGAAAAGTCTAAAAAAACCCAATGTACTTTTGTGTTTGGAATGATTAAGTCATTGGACAATTTTTTGGAACAAACAAGTCCTTGGACATTTCAAAACATGTTAAATAAATTCTTGGACTTTTTAAAACCTATTAGATACATTCTTATGACTTATACAACTGATTAATATGATAAAATAAGGGGAAAAACCTAAAAAGGTCAATGAACTTTCATATTTTGAGTGATTAAGTCTCTAAACATTTTTTGAACAAAAAAAGTACTTACATATATAAAATGAAACAAATATACCAAAAAAATACTTACATTAAAAAATATTATTGATTAAATATATTTTGATTAAAAATAAAAAATATTTTGTCAATGATTTTCCAAATAAAAAAAATAAAAAAAGAATTTAAAAAGT